CAAAAGTCAACGCTGACTTATTTTAACTTCTCTTGCTTTATTGTATAATATATTTAACTTACTTGTTGTACTTGATGGAACCCTACTCCTACCATTGTACCTACCCCTAATCCTAACCCTTAACCCCCTTTATGTACATAATTTAAGTGGTGTAACATTTAACCCAACCCGTAATGTTTTCTTAAACCTAACCAAGTAGTAATGTTGCCTAAACCTAACCGAACTGTGACCACTCATTCGACTATTGTTACCATAACGACGAAAGGTCACCTGACAAAGGTTTTATCCTTCCCTGCACATACAAAAATCATAGACTGCACCATCTCTAACATGTCATGATATCCCAGTGTCAACTCACACCGTCAAAACAGATTTAGGTGTAGCTGTAGGAAATATATTTTGTTGTCGTTGGTATGCAGCATTCTTAGTGTCCATTATACAGTAATATAGGAAGCCCCATCTAAAGAGACAAACCAGCTCACAGTCTTATAATACATTCTGTATAGAGTAGAGATCAGTGTATGCTATTTAAGCTTAAGGGACGCAACATATGTGCAACAGTTGGTGACTTTTTTTGTTTTGTTTTAGATGAGAACATTGCATTCCATTAATTACCCCTGCTGTCTCCTCCTCTTCACCTTTTAATGTTCTTTGTGAAAGTTTTACAACGTTTCGACTTTGACCTTGTTGGACGTGAAATGCTGTCTTAATTTTGAAAAATGCAAGCATTAATAACGCCACTGCAGTAATAAGACAGGGCAAAAGACAATAGATCTTGTGAATATCATTGGAGAAATCTACAGTATTCATGTATCATCTTCGGCAAGAAACCATAAAAGTGAGTTTTCATCATCGTCATCAATATCATCATCATTTGAGACAGGCATTACAGCATCATGACATGAATATTTGTCTTCTAATCTGGGATTAAAGCCAGAGGATCAAACTGTGATCATCAGGGAGCGATAGGAGAGATAGAGATAGAGATAGAGATAGAGAAATAGATGGATGGAGAGCTAGATAGAACAGGAAGAAGCGAGGGAGATGAGAGGATGAGAACAAAAGGGCCTGATGGCTGTCTGATTCTTTACCTTCTTTCAGTCTCACGTGTCTGTGAGTGTATGCGTATATGTGTGCCGTGTTTGTGTGTTTTATTGGCAGGATTTTAGCATTTACTGTGGCCTGTGTCCGGCTGTGCTGCAATCTGTTTGCCCTCCCTCTTTCTTTCTCATTACAGAGAAGCAGCACATTTTGCCAGACACGCTCTTAATCTCATGCACTGACCGATGGTTTCTGGGTCCCAACTCACCGACTGGTTTGCTCCCTTTTAGGTTCTTCTGCAAATTCTTAAAGAATGATCCTATTATTTTACTTCCTGAGCCAGAGTCAGACAGGGCGGTCAAATGTCGGTTACCCTCCCTCGCACAATCAGTCATTGCCAAGAAAGACTGAGTACATGCTCAACTGTGGTACCGTTAAGGTACTTACAAACAGCGAGCAGTTGCCGCCCCTACATCCATTGTTTACAATGTAAACACAATAGCATGCATGCCACCAAGGTAGGCGTCAGTGGCAAGGATAGAGAGGGCAGCTGCTGCTCTTGTAAACATGGTTTGGATTAGAGTAAGTTTAGTGTATTGTATAGGATCAGCTGTAGCCAATAGCTGAGCTTTGCCCCTCTGCTGCACATATTCAGTACAGAACACCGACGTCAGTGTGCGGCAGGACCATTCACTGGCTTAAAGCACCTTTACAGTAAGTCAAAGTTGAGCCAGAAAGTGTTTTATTTGAATGTTTGCCCTCATTTTCTTGTCCAAATACTAATGCCAGAGTACAGGAGGGACCACAGCACTCAATTTCTTAAAGTCCCCTTTCACTCAAAAAGTGTTTCTTCCTGTTCCTACACTTGGATGTTTGAATGCTGTCTGTGCAGAGTTTGACACTAGAAGGGTGTTTTCACATTCATCTGCTGAAAGTGGAAAGTTTCTCTGTGCTCATTGAAGATCTGATTTTAAGTCTATGAAGATGATTTGTGACATCACAAATTGTCCATCCTGGTCCAGTATGCAACTTATACAAGTGTGACATAAAAACTAGCCACCAAGCCACCAAGGGGTAGTTTTAAGGATTTTAATGTAGAAATTGTACTTTTTTGTGGAAAGAAAAATAGCAGACTATTTGTATCTATGTCTTTATAGATGTCTGAAGGGATCTTTACATTAAATATCCTGTTGCAAAGGAACTGGTGAATATAGCCTACAATATATAGCCACATATCCACCACTCTTGTACCCTTGTACCTAAACCCCAATCTGCTTTGTGTTTCTGCTGCAAGCCGTACTCTTAAATGTAGGTGGGATGTTACCAGGGCTTCGGGACTAACCCCATTCACTTTCAGCAGTTGGGAGGCAATAGAGACTTTTTTGGTACATGAGAAGCTGCAGCATTTATGAACTGACACACCTACACTGTACATTTTCTGCCAGATTGATTAAAATGTAAAAATAACCACTGTGTGACAAACTAAACCAAACTGGACTGCTTGGTGGAAATGGGGCTAATGTTTCAGCAAGAAGAGTATCTCATTTAAGTGTAGCAATGTACTCAAGTTGTGAGTTTTATATATACATATAGATAGAAATGTATAAATTTGATCAAATATTATACTATATTACGGTTTTATTGTAGCTAGTTTTTTTTCTCGCTCCCCGGTGTGGCAGTGTGCCAATGTTACCAGGGAGCCTACAGTGACACTGCAGGCTTAGATAATGAGCATGCACACACACACACACACACACACACACACACACACACACACACACACACAAACACAGTGACATACTGTCTAACTAGAGGCAGGCTGCGATGTCTTCAGTGTTTGTGATGCCAACGTGTTGTGTGTGACATTGTGTGTATTTGTGTGTGTGTGTGTGTGTGTGTGTGTGTGTGTGTGTGTGTGTGTGTGTGTGTGTGTGTGCGTGTGTGTGTGTCTCCATTTTCACCTTTTCCGTCTATGCAGCAACGGAATGAGATTACTTTGATTGACAGGTGTGACCGGGCATACACATCACTCACACCAGCTTTGTGGTTATTACAATTGCCACAGGAATATGTCATGTGGGATCACTATGGCAACAGTAACATGCAGTGTCTTACCTTGACATGAGTGGGATGTCATGTTTTATCTGCTCACAGGAATATTATTATTCTGCCACCAGTGGTGCCTTCATTCAATGCTCAGTGAGACTGAGTCTTGTTATCTCTGCTGACTGAGAACATATATTCATTTATTTGCATATTTCTAATTTAATCCTAATTAATTTATTTCTGCATCTGATATACAGTATAAAGTTGGTTTCAGAAATATTGCAACCTAACATGAAGGAAACACAGTAGGAGATCACATAGTTGTAACTGAAAAGGTTTATTTTTATCAAACTGAAAGAGAAAATAACCTACATTAACCCAAAGCTGAATAATGTAGGGATAGATGTATACTACATCAGTGGTGTCTGTGATGCATGACTGAGGCTGTTCCCCATTTGACCATGCTGGTGAAGGGTGTGTTACACAGGAGCAATGGCAGAGAGATCCACTTAAATGGAGTGCAGGATGCACATGATGCAGCAGGTGTAATGTTGGATCTCCATCGGTTGATAATTAGACGGTAGGTAGTGTGGCTGATGCTGTGGTAACACTACTTGTACAGGAGGATTTTAATAAGGGGAAGTAAAAAATAGTTCAGTATCAGGAAGGGCAACATAATGATAATTAAGTTAAAGTCTCTTAGCATTTTGGGAATGCTAGAGTTAGAGGAGAAGATCAATTTCATCTATATATAAGTAACCATACACACTCATATATTGACTATGTGTTGGATGACAGTAGTTAGTATTCAGGGCAGGTTAAGTTAGCCTGAAGAGTGATGCGAGAAGAGTCGACTGAGCTAGCCTCTCGAATTAATATTCTAAAGAAAAGGGGCTTGGTAAGAGAAGGCCCTGCCATCTACTGATGATTTAGTTATTTATGGAATAGTCAGAAGATCAGCTTTTTTAGATTGTAAAGTTAAAAGTTAAATATTGAAGTCACATTGAGCCTGCGCAGGGAGCAAATGTAATGAAATAAGAACAGGGGCAGCATTTTGTAAGCAGGGGTAAAGTCAAAATTTTTAAGCCTCGATGAGACAAAAGCATGAACATCAGCCTTGGATAATATGGGAGGATTCTCGGCAATGTTTCGTAAGTGGAAATATGCCAGAAAGCCAGGAGAAAGAGAAAGACTTGAATAGTGTAGCAGGTGAGCCACAACTCCCTCTGATGACCCTCCATGCAGATGCTAGGTAGAAGTCTAATTAGCATCATCCATCATCTTTAAAGGAAATCTGGCAATTAGTATTTGATACGGTATTTGGGTTTTCAGAATGACTGAATATGGCTAAGGGAACAGAAAACCCTTAGAAACTGCCCAGTAGGAATGACATACGGTTGAGCTGTTGCACCTTTTTAGCAGCAGTGTGATTTAGTTAATTCAAAGTCTTCTTGATTCTATTTCAGTTTTAAAATGTTTTATCATGTGGCCAATCAAACATTCTAAATTTCATTTGATTTAGTTGTGTTGGAAGAGATGGTTTTCCATCTTTTTCCAGGGATGGAAATTGTTGGAACAAACCTCTGCCTTTAAATATTTCTTTAATAGCCTGAAATGCAAAAGTGTTGACTGCTCTCATAGCCTCCCATTGGCTCTCTGTGCATTTAGCACTGAAGGAAAGCATCATACATGCACAGAGAGCAGAATGTCAGAATGGATCTCTTTGTTTTAGGGGGTCACAAGATTACATTTTAAGAAGCAGCTCTAAATTGTTGCTGTTTTTGGAGCCTGCAACCTCTCAGTTTGATGATTATCCTTTTGTTTTGCTTTGGTTAAACTTATGATTTGAGCCTATCAACTTTTATCTTCATCCCTAAATATCAAAAACTAAACCTCTGTATTTCTTCCTTCAGGTTAACAGACCTGTCGGGCTCTCTCACAGATGGACCAGTAAACTATAAGTACAAGACCAAATGCACTTGGCTAATTGAAGGATAGTAAGTATCAGTGTTTTTCTTCTCCTCCTATCATTTGTCATACTTAGTTCCACTTGGTTAAAAACTGTTTTTTTGTATCTGACTAAATGGCTCCAGATAAAGAGAGCTTTATTACTGTGTGAATAGAAGTAGTTTGTCTTTGAATGTAGTTATTGTGCTCCACAGTTGCTTTTTTGCTCCCATTAACTGCTCAGAGATGCATGCTACACCAACTGATCGCATAGAGTTATACACATGTAATTATTTGTAAAGACCCTCACAGAATGACAACATTAAAAAAACAATACATTGGCTGTTTAGGGTTACTTTGTTCATAACCCATCTATCTTCTGGAATGTTAGATTGATTGATAGATCCCCTTGGAAAATATTGAAGGAATGTTTGGGCTCATTAAAATATTGAAAAGGCCATTATGAATATATTTAGCAAAGTCAAGTCAATTTGATTCAAATACCCCAAAATCCTAAACCAAAAATTCGCCTCAAAGGCCTTAAACTATGGAGCAATTGCCAAGAAATTTAGTGCAGACATACACAACCCTGTGGGGATGAATGACAGATGATTCTCTGACTTTTTGCACTACTGTACCATCAGGTCAGAATCTCCAGTTGTAGTATACAATGGATACACCCTCCACCCACTTTTACACATGCATTTTTCTGAATGCTCTTTTGTATCTTTGCCACTACCAGAAAGATTAATTCTTTTTTTATCTTCTCTATTGCACTGAAAAGTAAAAAAATAAAAAATAAATTGTACTTGCGCAACTAGATCCACTTTACTAATTTGTCATTCTCCTAAGTTACCTTGAGTTTTTTATCTCTCAATTTTCTCTCAAGAGTTCTTCTGTTCGATTTTTCACAGCTTTTACGTGGAAAGACAACAATTGTTACATAGCGTTATTGGAATTTTATTCAAAATACATTCAGATCCTCTTTATTATTAGAGTTTACAGCTGCTTATGATGATGATGATATTTAGATCAGTTGGATATTTCTTCCACAATCACTTGCCACATTGCTGTTGCAGTTGTTAGTGATATGCATGGTCCCCAGAGGATAATTTTTGAAAGCCATGGTTGATTTATTTTTCATGTTCAAGTTAAACTTGACCAGTGGTCCAAAACTTTGGTTCAAAATTGATGATGAAAAAATTGTTACATAAAATTGTTTTTGAACGTTCATAGTCCCCAGTGGATGAATATTGCACTATCCACTGAGCTTTTATCCAGCATCATTATCACATCAAAATCTGTATTTGCACACAAAAAAACATCAAAATCAAATGGGGCCGATTGCAATAAAATTTAATGACTACTTTCATGTGTCCTAGGGGGATACATCCTTGTAGTGTTTCCTCTTGTGCCACTTTAAGCCCCACTACAAGCGAAGCTAAGAATAGCAAAATTATTGGTATGTTACTTGTTTCATCAAACACTGTGGCACTGTGTATTATAACTACATACAAACTAGTATCCTGGTTTTTATCATATTTTGGATATAACATTTACATGGAACATAGTGAAATGTTCATTTATGTAATAAGGATCTAAACACTGAAATGAAAGGGAATAATCTGCTTTATCTGACTATTTAAGTAACTTGAGTTGAGAATTCACCTATGGCAAACAGTGAACTGAAACCTGCCACAGTATACAGATTTCTCAAAACAGAAAAAAGAGCTTATTTCAGAGTTCTGAAACCAGGATACTCTAAATAACCTGATCCTAATTGGGATGTATGCATATAACTGTATGTAAACACACACCAATTGCAGCATATAGGAGACTTTTAGTAAGAAAATGTCACACTTAACTATTTACTTTAGTATAGCAAAAAGGTTTTCTGATGCACTGCGTGAGTCCCTGAAGAGTCTGTGTGTGACCGTAACCACAGACTTTCATAAATTGTGGCAACACCTTTCAAAAGAAACAGTCATATGAAGCATAGGTAATATATTCATCCAATGTATTTTTGTCATATCTTCTCTCTCTCCCTGTCTACCAGTCCTAATGCAGTACTCAGGCTGCGCTTCAATCACTTTGCCACAGAGTGCAGCTGGGACCACATGTACGTCTATGATGGAGACTCCATTTACGCCCCTTTGATTGCTGTGTTCAGGTGAGCCTCTGCTATTCTGAATAGGAGAGCTGTGAGAGGGGGGAAATATGGAAATGACTCAGGTAGCCTTTGGCACAGCTTCAAAAGCTTCAATGAATTTGCTCTTATGCAGTCAAATGACTCCATGTAGGCAAACAATGGGCCTCATAATTACCATCGTACCACAATACAGCAATAACAGAAAGAAAATATTGCTACTCACATTAACCCTGAATACCACTTTTCTGGAGCTTTGTTGCTTATTTTTCTTTTTTCTCCATAAGGCAATTTACAAGCATGTGGGTAGGACTCTTTAGTTTGACAGAAATTCATTAAAAAACAGTAATACCACAATAATTTCTCAACCTCCCACTTTCTACTCTGCTCCAATTGAGGCTTATCTCCTGTTGAGAGTTCAGTTGCTCCCAGGATATGAAGGAGCTAATTTGGCCTATTCCAACCAAGGAAAAATTATCTGGCATTTGAATATAGAAAGCCTAGACTTGTGTATGATTATTACCTACAATAAAAAGGCTTACATTGTTTATTATAAATGGGTGCATACTTGTGTTGAGAAAAAAAGGCTATAGTTGCAGCAGGGAGGAAGCTTTGACTCGGATTCATTATGGGCGAGGGTACATTTGCAGTGCATTTATTAAAAGAGACAGCCAGACCAAATAAGAAACCACCAGCCTCCCACTGAAAAACCTCATCAAACAAATAAAAAACTAAATGCGGTTTGACTCTGCGCTGCAATGTTGTTTTACTTTAAAGCTAATCACTAGTCATATTTTAGTGGGGTCTGCAATTGCTCAAATGGAATCCTTTTTATCTTACAGCTCCAGTGGAGCGAGTCCATAAAATACAGCAGCATTTCAAAATGCTTTTTATTATTATTACTTTCTTGTTGAGAGGGACTTTTTCTGTCTCATTCTCATTCTCCCTCTCTTTCTCAGTGGTCTAGTAGTACCAGAGAGCAGGGGTAACGAGACCGTCCCGGAGGTCGTAACGACATCCGGCTATGCTCTGCTTCACTTCTTCAGCGATGCTGCCTACAACCTGACCGGCTTCAACATCGCCTACTCGTATGTCCAGACGTCAACCCTCCTTCACTCTTTTTCTAATCTCTTTTCCCTTTCTTTCCTCTTTTGTCTGTGTTTCTGTTCCAGGGTCTAAATACACATAGCTGATCATTTAGCAGTTTTATAGAAATTGAGACAATACCTTCTAAGACAACGCCTTCAAAGTCTAAGTCTAGATTTTTGTTTTGGTGCCCATGTTAACAGATTAGAGAACAGAAACACTGCGACACACGTCTCACACATGAGCTAGTTCTAGGCTTTGGTATTCTAAATACTGGCTCTGGCGTGACTTGAGTCACTTACTGAAATTAAGCAAACATGAATGAAATTCGTTGCACCGGTGCTTTTCCTGTCACAAGTCAAAACGTCTTCAAAAAAGTCCAACTGTCAGGTCTGCAAGCTCATATTGAGTGAGTTAATGTTCCTTTTGCTGTAACTTCTATTTGAAATAATCACGTTGCAGCAAATAACAGATGGATTCATTATACCTAAAGAGCAAAATCAAGGGTGAACCTATCATGAACTATCATGGAGTCCCATTTTGAAGGCTTGAGTTTGGCATTATGGTCGTCGCCGTGACAGTTTGTTGGAGCCAGCGGCGGTGACGCCCTTTGAGCTGCGCTCACTGGCAGTTTCCACTTATGTAATACGAACTTATATGTTAGTGAAAAGAATTTAGGCAAGAAATCTTTAATCATATTTTATCAGCACTGCCTAGTTTGACAGTTTGATCTGAGTTTCGTGCGCTGGACGGAGAATGACTTGTCAGTCACAAGGTAGACATGCCTAAAAGCATACCATGCTTTATCGTCTATTTCACTCTAAATTGGGCTATGATTTACAAAATGGACATCATGCTGTATGGAAGAAGACTTGAAACTAGTTATTAAGACCATAAACTCATTAGGATACTGCACTCTGCAGCTAATGAATCAAGTGAGAAGTAGGGTAATTTCTCCATTAGAGTGCATGGTATATGTGTGTTTATGGCTGCCCCCTGCTGGCCATTACATAGAGTACAGGTTTAAGACACTTCGGCTTCACAGACCCAGAAGCTTTGTCCAATATATATACTGTCAGTGAGAGAAATTGGTAGTTTTCATTCCAAAATTAACATTTCATATGACTTTAGCTAAAAATGCCTCATTAGTAGCATCAAGGGAGGCCAGTATATTTATTAAAACTGAAGAGAACTTTTGTCTCCCCCCTCTGGCAGTGACATTAATTACACAAACACAACAATGTCACAGTGTATTATACAGTCAGTGCTCAATATAAAAAAACAAAAACCTCTTCCTCTTCGGGATCCAAGGAAGCAAACAGAAATACTGAGTTTGAAACATACATCGTTGGCCAACGAAATTAAATCCAAGTGAGACCTCTTGCGTCTAATAGACAAGCCTAGTGATTCTCCCACGACTTCCCGTAGACTCGTAGGTCATCCTGGGAGCTGGGCGGGTTGATGGTGGCTCCACGGAGTAATTATTAGAGGATGGAGTTGGAGAATATTCCAGTCCATGAGTGAACTATGGATTACGGACTTTTTGGCTTGTTGCCAGGGGTTGGCCAGCTAATCAACCGTCTCTCTCTAGACTCTTGCGCATGTGAGTAAATGTGGCCCTTTTTTTGGTTAAAACGCTGGCATGGGTTGATCCTACTGACCCACCAATAGATTGTTTCCACGGCAACCATTTTGACGTTCGACACAGGTGTTACCAATCATACTAATTAATTAAGGCTCCGCAGGTCAGAGGCGCTGCTATTGTTCATGCTAACTTAGCTCACTGGAAAGGCTCTGCTAGAGTTACACTAAATCGTAAGTAACGCTAAGTAAGTCCCGTATTTCCAGCTTCAGAAAGCAAAGAGTGAAATAGGAAGTGGGTCTGGAAGAAAATGACAAAAATAACACTTCAAAATAACATTGCTTTGTGAGTTTTGAGCTTAGTTAGTTCGTCTGAGCTGTCAAATACACTAGCTAGCTAAGCGCTAACTTAGAGCTAGCTATCTAACATCTGTACAATTGGTACATGTGTGGCAAACATTTTATGAAGAACACGTTAAAAACTTGTAATACACATTTAGTTGTTTTAAGCTGTGTGGACAAACCCACCAATGTGTGTTTTTTTTCTGGTTAGTATTGGTTGTCAACAGTTGTCAGTGTCATAGAGGCTGCCCTACATGCTAAATAGACTTTTAATGTTTGAATGTTTGTTTTAATTACATAGTGACATCTACCTAGATATACTCTGAGTATCATCTGAGTCACATAACAAAACAATTTTAATCTTAACCAGGGGTTTGGAACTGTTTCAGGTGCCCTTTTTTTTTTTTTTCCCACCACTGTGTACAGCACAAACACAGATTCCTACAGCACGTCATAATGCTGTGTTGACCATGTCACCGCCTCTTACTCACAGCCACAAACCTGGCTGCTTTGTGCCAGTAGTGATGGCCTTGATGGAAAATGAAATGATATGTGGTAGGTTGAACACATGGGTGGAGTGAGGACAGTTACTGTACAGTCACACAGGCTCTAGGCTCTCAGCACGCGCGCGCACACACACACACACACACACAGGGGGATATAAGGGTTGTCATGACGACCCTCTTGTCATAACAGCAAGCCAGCTTTTTGTATTAACAGAAATATGATTTTCAGCCTCTCCTTCCCCCCCCCATCATTCTATCTATCTCTTTCAGCATGTGTATTTATCTGACACCAGCGTGGAATGTTTGCAGTATCACTATATCAATGCTTTTTAATCAAAGTCTGGTTTTCAGTGTATCAATTCACTCTTTAGGCTCCTATTATTCATATCTAATGGGCTCTCATTTTCAGTCGTCTTTGTGTCTTTTTCTTTGTCCTTCTAGCTGCATCTCAAATTTCTCTCTTTTAATCTATATCTGTCTTGTTCAATCTCTCCCCTATGTCCCATGGTTCCTTGTTACGTCACATTCAATTGACAGATGCTTTTGTCCAAAGCCACTTACATTGAGTGCATTCAAACTCAGAAGGAACAAGAGGTAGATGTTGTTTCCCTCCCAAACTTATGTTCAGTGCTACAGTACAACAACTTTTTATGCTCTTCTTGTTCTGAGATTCAGCCTTTACTACAGTTTATTGATTAAGTAAAATTCTACAATGGGTATTGTGAAAGCTAATTTACCTTTACATAATGCTGCTAGATGTTCCATTTTCAACAGTCTAACAGTGTCTGTCTGTGTGTGTCTCTGCCTCATGATGCTGGGCAGGTAGTGCGCAGTGAGTTTATTACAGCTTGTTTGCTGAAAGCAGCTACCTGCTGTGTCTGGAAATGAGTGTTGATGAGAGTGCTGCTGAGACTGAAAATGAATGTGCTCTAAAACCAAAACTATGAGCTAAAAGAGGCTAATACACTCCTTAGAGCTGCAGAGTGTGTGATAATGTTTGGGTTCAGGTCTACAACTCCTTTCATATTAACTATAGTCACTTAATCCAGTATTAAAATTAATCTTTTTGCCTTCTTTCACTAAAATGTTACTATATACAAATGTTACTATAAACAAGAGAAATTGGTTGCCTGAACTACTTTTTCATGAGGCATCCACAGTATCTCAAAGCTTTGGGGTTATTTAAAGTAATGTCTGACAAGTCACAATCAAGTATTCTCTCTGTGCCTATGGTGCTGTATAACCTTGAAGAAGTTCCTTGACGTCCTGCTTAACTGTGTCTCCCTCAGGATAAACTCTTGTCCCAACAACTGTTCGGGCCACGGCAGATGCAGCACTGCCAACTCTGTCTCAGGTCGTGTGTACTGCGAGTGTGAGGAGTACTGGAAAGGAGAAGCCTGCAACATCCCGTACTGCAGGGATAACTGTGGCAGCCCGGATCACGGCTACTGTGACCTGACTGGAGAAAAGCTGTGTGTCTGCAACGACAGCTGGCAAGGTAAAAGAGCAGGACAAACTGGACAGGAAAGGGGGAACAGCATTTTTTATCAGAGAATACATATATGTATGAACTGAGCAGTTCAGCCAGAATGGTGAGATGTGGCTTTTTGGCCTTGAACGGTTGGGCTTTGTAGAGAAAACATTCCAGAAGGACAGAGGATGAAGATGATTGTGAGAATTTAAGGACAGGAAAGAACTAGAAATGTGTCTATATCTGAACTACCTCATTTCTTTCTTTATATGTAATGTGTTAATTATCCTTAAACACTGATTGACTAATTGTCAAAATGGGGCAAAAGGTTGTTAAATATATATATATATATATATATATATATATATTTTTTTTTTTTAATGTTCCGGTTATATATAACTTTTGTTCCAGAAGTATTCAATAACTATATATCATGTAGTAAGGATGAGCTTCACATTGAAATATAGCCACTGAAATGCTGTTAAACCAATGGTTATGTGTAAATATAGAATACATTTCAACATAATTTAGTCCAGTTTTATTGTGTTTTTTTTATTTTTTGACCTGAAAATCATATCACCCAATCAGTGCTTACTGGGATGTTATGAGCAACATTTTAACCACATGTCCACATGTCATTGTTGCACCTTTTTATATAATTACTGTGTAATTGCTACAAATCAGGCAAATGCCAGTTTTACTTATTCTACATTTCCCATGATGCCTGTAATGAAGAGGATCTTTTTGATGTTTCTCTTGTGTTCATTATTAACGTGAAAGTGAACAAATAGGAAAGGAGGAGATACAAAAACACAACAGTAGCGGTTTTCCTGTTCATGCCCAGCATAATGTTGCTTGATTCAATATTATTGTGTATCATAAAACAATAGATGTGTTATCCAGGGAAATCTTGCCTAGTGGTGCATAATATATGTGGCTTTATTAGTTTTCTTTTTATGTTTTAATATAAAGTACATTGAATGACTTGAAGATGCTGCCAGTTTCCTCAGGTGTCTCATTCGTTGAAGGCAATTATACTGATATCCTAATATAAATGTGGTAGTTGTACATGAAGAATCTTCAGATAGTATTAAAACTGCATTTTTATATTCGTGTGAAGCATCAATTTGAGACTCGGTGTCAAACACACAAGTTAATATTAGTATTATATCATATATCAAGTTGTGTGCAATCTCATTAATAGAACACTTAATGTTTAATTATCCTCTGCCTGGTACACCTGGCAAGCTGAGTCTACCATCAGAACATTTCAGAACCAATGTTATCTTTTATGATAACAATAATGGAACTTTGAATCTAACCCCAGCAGACCTTCCAGGCCTGTGAAGTTAGATTACTGGTGAAGCGCTGCCCCCTCTTGGATTAATGGTGTACACACTAGGTTGATGGGAGTGAAGCCACTGTCTACTCTGGAAATTTTTATTCATGTATTATAGCGTACTTTATCTTCAGACATACATGTAAATCTGAAAACTCTGGTGACACGTTGGAGTTTGAAGACATTTGGACATTTGTAAATAAATAGCAACTCACAATCGTCCTAAAAGACTGCTCCTAGATGATTCCTGCACTTCAACTCTTTAGTTTCATCGATGAAAAAACTGTTTTTATTGTTAATGTATTATTATTGTATGGCATATATTTTCCTAGCACAAGCTAGATCTGTCATTTTTGTTGCAGGTCATTTATCAGTTGTGTTTCTATTCTTTTTAAACAATAAATGTCACCTGTTTTTATTTGTTTGATTTCATGCAAGAACCTGATTTTCACAAAGAAAATATATAATAATATAGATAGTAACACTATTACTACATGGAGTTAAGATTTGAACGAGACTAAAGGTCAAAAGATATGTGTTCCAGTAGGGTAATGAGTCAGGTGGAGACGCACACAGCCTCAGAGCAGCCATCAACCACACAAACAGTGGGGGTTGTGATGACCCCTGTTGTGTCATCTTGTGGGCTGTGTGATTCACTTGTGTCTCTGATCACTATGTAGGTGATTGTTAGGATAACCTGGAACACTTGAGGGCCCCAGTGTATTTTAAGTCTCTCCCTTCATTCAAGAACACTTGCACCACTCACATCCACACCCTACACCTTAATAATCCTTAATTGTCACTTTAATTTACTTATTTAGTTTGATAAAAAAAAATGTGTTAACATATATCGCGGTGTGTCCAAAGTGCTGGATGATGACAGGGTCAGATCTGTGGGGCCTGTTTTGATACTGATTCTACATACAGTGACACCAAACTCCAAATACCAAATAAAAACAAATTTGAGGGCATGAAGAGAAAACTCAATTATCTTCCTCTTGCTGACTAAAAGATAAGTAATATTAAACATGTTTCAAACTTCACTCATCATGCTTTTTTTCTCTCTTGATGGCTGTGGTTTTCAACCATGTTTACAGCTATTTAAGATACTATTTAAATAAAATGTCTTTTCTTTCTCTCCATGTCTCAGGTCCTGACTGTTCTCTGTCCGTTCCCTCGACTGAGGCCTTCTGGGTGCTGCCAAGTGTCAAACCGTCAGCTCAGTCTCTCGGTCGGGCGTCCCATCAGGCTCTGGTGCACTCTGGGCTGATGTGGGTGGTGGGAGGCTACTCTTTCAACTACACCAACTACCACATGGTCCTCAAGTAAGCAGTATCAGTCTGACTCAGCAACGTTCTGTCAGTGGAAAACTGATCTAAAGGGTAGACTTCAAAACTCAAAGCATCATTATGAGATTGTTTACCAATTAAGTGTTCCCTTATTCCCTTATGTTGGGAAAATTCTCCTACTTATTAAGATGAATACACTATTTAAAACCCCTCCTGGATTAGCTGGAAAATGCATTGTCACACAGCCAAAAACAGGGCTTGATTTTCTGAGCTCATGGAATGTTGAATATCAAGAGTTATGTGAATCTCACAGGACAGACATACACACACACATATGATGATCTTACAGAATATGATGGATTGCTGAAGATGAAACTGCCCCACAGTATATCAATTGGTAAAAATTAGCTCAACCATAAACATCTAAAGCAGTAATGCATCGGTAATATTAATACAAAAACATATTGATGGGTGAAAACTAGAGGGTTGTTGTTGTTTTGGGCAAAATATTTTACTGATATGATCACTGATGATCTCTTTCCATGAGTAAAAGAGGACAAAGTATGGTCATGTTTTGTTTTGGCTATTCTTTAAAGATAGTCAAACACTGACAGGGACCATTTTACTGCACAATGACTTTTGATACTTTTACCAAAGGAAAAGATCTGAATACTTCTTCCACGTTCTACACAAAGTGAACTACGAATGTATACATCTCCCTTTTTCTTTGATTTATTTCTCTCTCCAGCTACAACCTAGAGACCAGTACGTGGGATGTGGTGCCTGTCAGCAGTGGCCCCCTCTACAGATACGGTCACTCTTTGGCTCTGTACCAGGTAATACAGCTGTGTTTGCTGACACTAAAGAGAAAAGTTGTCTGAGGAATGCAGTAAAATATGAAAATAAGGTACTGTACAGATGCAGATTCTTTGCAGTTTGCACTTTATGCCTCCATACTCATACACAATTGTGCAAATGTAAACAGACCACATTCAAGACAATTAAGATGCAAATATATTCTACATTTACTTGCTGCTGAAGTGAACAGTTCAGTCTATACAACACCTGTAGCCAATTAAAACATCAGTCCACGGCTGTAAGTTCTGATGGCTTTTGGTTACTGAAAATACAATTATATTGTAGCTTACTTGTAGTGAACAATAAAAAATTATTTTAGCCCAAGCATAGTTTTGGAATAGACTTCAGTGTTATTATAAAGCAGAACATCATGTATTAAATTATGCGTGTTTTGTGCTCAGTTTTAACCAATACTTTAAGACCTGAAAGATAAACCCGTTTTTAGTCTACTCCATGTACAAACTGGTGGATTAAACTGCTCATTGGTCGAGTTTTATTGTTGTTGATAATTGATTAATCTTTTGACTAAATTATCAAATAAAAACAACCTTTTCTAGTTACATCTTCTCAAATGAAAGAATTGTCGTCTTTTCTTTCTTTTCTGTTTCCAACTGAATATAAATGTAAACTGAATATCTTTTGACTGTTGGTTGGAAAACAATACGCTATTTGAAGATACAGTCTACTTGATATCATATGATACGGGCCATTTTAGGCTGATTAATAATTAATTCAAAATATAATTTACAAACGACTCAAAAAGCAGTAACTGTTGGCTCTTTGAAACATGTTTATGCAGTCATTGGAAGTCATTTCACGAGACGGATAAGAAAATGTTACACTTTTGGGGAGACTAGCCCATTATTCACCTTGCTGCTGAAGAAATAAGAACATCAGAACCATCCATGTGTCCTGTATAGATCACTCACTTCACAGTTGGGAGCATCAAATGATGTGTCACTGTCCAAATACCGGGACACATGCTTATTTTGTGTGAAAGAGGTCATTTAATAGTGAAAGGCGGAGGGAGAATGAAGACAAATGTCTCTGTTCTGCTCTGATGAAGGTGAGATTTGATCTGGAGGATGCCTGAAGAAGATTTGTAGGGAGCACAATTTGTGCTGTACTTAAGTTCTAACTTCATACCTTCCCTGTCCCGGACAAGCCCCCATTATGTTACAGCTGGCTCAAAGTCACAACACATTAAGGGACACCATACTAGGTACAATGCAAAGGAATAACATTTATTTACAACAAGACAAAAGAAGGGCAACACAAACAAAGACTGGGATCTTGTGCCAGGGAGTTGAGAGAGTGAGGGCGGAGAAAGGATCTACTTATATAGGCTGCACCCACAGCTTCATGCAGGTGCTCTCAATCATCCCTCAGGAAACTGCACCCTGAACACAGAGACATAACAGACACACATGCAAAGGGATAGCAAAAGTATACAATGACACGTAACAGGTCGAAAGGAATTATTTCATTTCATCTATGTAGTTTGTCGCCTTCTCAGCAGACACTAACAGGGATCATTTTTACAATAAACAATACACAGGATGTTTGCCATATCAACTATTAATATCACAGTTGAGTTCACAGGTTATTGCACCGCCAAGTGTCTCACCTCAATAATGGGTGTAAAAGAGAGTTTATGGCATTATTTGAACCATCTCAATCATGCAAATACACCGATCAGCCATAGCATTATGACCACCTCTTCTTTTGCACAAACCAAGAACTCCTCTACATTTAGCCTCAGAAGCCAAATTCTCCAATACCATACAAATGAACAGCAGGTTATCTTTTGGCACACTAGAAGCAGCATGCAAGCGCAACACAAAGAAACATATCTTCACATTCCATGTATATGTGCCTGCGCAACAACTCTAGCGCTTGTTCACACCGTCTTCATCCTGCGTGGTGGAAGGTCTTGATTTTTATTTCAGCGTCCATGTTAACAGTATTAGTGGTCTCTCTCTCTCTCGCTCTGCTCTGCAGCTGACATGCTCTTGGTGTGAACACATGACCAGACAGCCTATGTGAACGGGGTGTTAGATGAAACTGATAATATTTTATATATCGGGACTATGTTCAAGGACCAGGGTGTTAGATTTAGTGGCCTCTAGTGGTGTAGTTGCAGATTGCAAATCACTTGCATTATATATATATTACAGTGGCTGCAAAAAAAATGAATGCCCCTGTCTACAGCCACTGTTTGGTTTGTCCATGCAAGGCTACTGTTGAAACATTGCAGCTTAACATGGCGGCATCCACTGAAAGCAACCCATGGCATCTGTAGATAAAAAAAGCTCAGTCTAAGGTAATGAAAACACAACAATTCTTATTGTAAGATGATTATACAATATTGAAAACATAAATAATAATTAAAATTATATTTCATTTCTGCCAATAGAGCTTCCTAAACGTTACACACTGGACCTTTTTAATGGTTATATATACAAAATTCCCTGCTACTATATGTCACACTAGAACACAACATCTCAGACCAAAACAATTGGATGCCTCTTGGGCCTGCAGTGGGAAGTGCCTGACAAAGATTACTGAAAGAATCCCTACAGAGATAGACTGTTTGCTGGACCAGAAATTGCTATAGCTCACCACCAGACTCAAAAGAACAAAAACAGTCATTTTAACTTGCATTTCATTGTAACAACATGTAAGAAGTGGACAGAAACACTCTGGTTTGGTCAAAATGAATCCATTCTCAGAGGTAGATGAGAAAAACAGCAGTTTTGCTTTGTGCACACATCACAGACAGGCTGCGATAGCAACACAGGGTAAGGGAGTATGATTTATTCTCTGCTCAGGACACAATGACTATAGGCTATATCTTTACACAGCCAATATTTGTTTGCTGCTATATTAATGTTGTAAATCTCATGTAAATAATTTTGAAGCCTTACATTAAAAAGTATCACCTCTCTCTGTCTTTTCTCTCATATAGGATGACATCTACATGTTTGGTGGGAAGCTGGAGGCAAAATCGGCCAATGTGACGGACGAGATGTGGGTGTTCAACATCCCCAGAAGGACCTGGTCACCACGGAAACCAGCCCCACTTCCTCCTTACACCCTGGAGGGGCACACAGCCCACGTGGTGGAGCTGGCTGACGGCGAGCCAGTGATGCTGATCTTCTTCGGCTACTCACCAATCTACAGCTACATCAACAAAGTTCAGGAGTACAACATCAGTAAGTGCACCTGCTGACTCTGCTCTGATTGATTTTGTTTTTCTTTGGTGATTGTTTAATTGCTTTTTATTGATGAAAGTCAAACACAGGGATTTGTCAAGTGGTTGACATTTTCCTCAGGCCATGGTCAATCTTCACACAGGTCTTTGGATTTTATTACAGACTTGTTGGGTTGTAGTTGTTTTTAATTTTTTTCTTTTTTTTTTTCTTGTGTATTTAGACACTGCTTTTGTTGGAATGACTTCATTTGACTTGTTTTCAGTCAGTTTTGATAAGTCATATATATATATATATATATAACTACAGTATAAAAAAACCTGGCTGCTGAAAGATATATTCACAAATGCAAATCCTCAAATATGTTTTTTGCACAACCCATAGTTATTCAGTTTACTGTGATAGAGGACAACAAAAACCTGAAAATATTTACATTTGAAAAGCTGAAATCAGAATTATTTCTTAAAAGAACTTAAAATGATTCATTGATTATTAAAATAGTTGGTAAATTTATTTAATAGCTGACAACTCTAAATCCAACTAGTTGCATATACCAACCTGTCCAAAAACTGCCAACCAGAATTCCAGAGCTTCCTATTATTTCTACTTTGACCAGAGATTTGGACACCCTGGTTCACATACTTTTGGTCTGGGGCTATAAATAAAGATAAATCTTAATGCTACAGCCAACAGCATATTTTAGTCAATTGTGTGCTGTCAACTTAGCAACAGTTTGTGTGGCATTTCCCTGTTTCAACATGGCGGTGCCCTCATGCACTAAACAAGGTCCACAAAAAATTTTTTTTTTCCCAGTTTGGTGTGTAAGAACTTGATTGGCCTGCACAGAGCCATGACCTCAACCCCATCTTACACCTCTTGGATGAACTTCGCCCATTCAGCTCTCTCCGCTCAATGGGAGTGAATCCCAGCAGCCAGGTTCCCAAATCTGGTAGAAAACCAAAAAAAAGAGTGGAGGCTGTTAGAGCAGGAGATTAATGACCATGGTTTGCAAGGGACATGTTCAGCCCCACAGATGAGTGTAGTAGTTGGCTGTCCTTATACTTCTGGCCATTTAATAAGCTTTTGCATTTATTTGATGCTTCCCTGTTTAGCCAGTAGATGGCAGCGTCACACAGTGTTTTTAAACCAGCAGCAGAAATTAGAGTTGGACCTTTGACACATTCTGGAGAGGAAAACACACACATGCACACACATATGCACACACATTTACACACAACACAAACTGAAAGACAAACATGTTTGCAGCCACACAGTGTACACACACACCGCAACACACACCCCAACACACACAGAGAGCGGTCATTAAGAGAAGGTGGCACCCAGGCCGGAGTGTCTGGGAGAAGACAATGATTAATGAATCCACTACATTCCCTCACTCTACTACCTTTCTGTCATTCTGTTTTTCTCTTTTTCTTTCACTTTCCTATCCTTCCTTCTCTTCCATTTTCTACACACTCGTGCTTTTCTTTTCATCTGCCAAACCTCAGTTACTGACCCCCTCTGTCATATCTCCTCCTCTGTCCTCATCATCTCTCGCTCCTCACCTTCCCCCCCTGCTCTCTTTCTCTGACAATGTCACAGTGTAACTCTGCACTGAGCATCATTAGGCTTCAGAGGGAGCGACTAAGAGTCAGTGCAACCTGGAAATGAACAGAAGAAAGTAGAAGCGGAGTGTAAAATATGAGGTAAAAGGATTTAATGACCACTCAGAGAAGCAGGTTCACAGCACTTAGCTGCCAGAGATAAGATAAGAGTTGACCTTCTGCTTTCTTGTCGTCTATTCAGAGTTACCCTTCTTTCTATTGCTGTTTCTCTTGTTTCTTGCTTTTTCAGTTCTGTCTCTCTGGGCTTTTGTTCTGCTGTCTGTCACTGACTCTCTTTTTCTAGCTTTTTCTCTTTCATTCCTCTATTCATTGCAATTCAATGAAGCTTCCTTAGCATGATGTATTCATGCAAAAAATATGTCACCAAAGCATTGCAGCAAGACCATTACATGATTTTTGAGGCCAATACAGATAGTGATATTGAGATATATCATCCAACAAACATTTTATTTTAGTCTTTTCCATAAGAATGTTTTGAATTTGGTTATCAAAGAATTGCGACCAAGATATATACTGACTAGGACATTCTACAGTTGAAAAATAAACTTAAGTGCTTCCTGTTAAACTATGTAATGGAGACACTGTTTGTAAACATCCTGAAACACATTTTTTCTGTATTGCTTTTTTGTACTGCAAATTTGTTACTTATGCCAACATAAGACAAGCCGAAATCTACCAAGAGAAGAAACGCAGCTGAGCAGCTGTTCTATTATATTCTCTTATATTATATGTAGTATATTCTGTTTCAGAAGTTTAGAAGTTTCAGAAGTTGTTTAATGTTTTGGGAATTCTATCGAAAAATGAAGATGATGTGTCACGGTGGGCATGTAATAGTTTTTCTTACTGTTTTCTACGGTGACCCATTTCAACAGCCAATTTGTGATCACCAAGGCTGTGGTTAAATTTACCTAAAATAGCACAGGTCACTGTACTATTGGATTTTAATACAGACAATTGAAACTGTTATTTATTTCATCCATACCTGTATGTTTCTTTCTCTCTCTGTTGGTTAGTACAATATTGGTTTGGTGGAAAGGTTGGCAAAGATGAGAAAAAGGTTGTTTTTTTTTCCCCAAAAGCACCATCAATTGACCATTTATAATAGCCTTATGTTTTTGCTAATAAACAAAGTTCCTTTTTCGTGGCCTCCTTAAGACAAGACAGATCTTTCACATTAGGCCACATCCATTTCTGGCTGATGGGATTGTTAATTTTTTGGAAATATAGCTTTGTCCTACAAATTCATAAGTCATTAAGATTTCCCACAACTAGTTGACAAATTCATTCAAGTGTGGCTTGTTTAGTGTAATGTAAACTGCCATAACTCTTAAACATACAGTAGCAGTCAATTGCATGCTCATTTCATTTTGTTGAGATAGATACCAGATAGCAGATATTAATTCTGAGCGATCCTGTTACATTTATAGGTGGTGCTATACGGCAACATAATACATTGAAATGGCTAGAGCTTGGTGAACTTGCATCTGACTCATGTGGAATTTTTCACAATTCATCATTCTTGTACAAAGGCCTACTGTTGAGTATTCAGAGTTTTATTCTTTATTCTTCAGATGAAATTATAGCCATCATCTGCCAGTGGGTGTATTGAGATGTGGTCTTATGCAGATTAAATTTGAACTAAAAAGGACACATTTAGAGGGTTGTTTGGAGATATTGTCTCTAATGCTTTCTAGTTCATTTTTTCTCTCTCGGCTCTCAGTATTACTCGTGGTCTCGGGGGTTTACCCCAGATGATGGCACCTTTTCTCAGGCTTTTGTAGTTCCTCCTCCTTCTAATCCTTTGTTTGTTGTGTGGTCTTTTTTATTTAATCGGGGGCTGCTCGGATGATGTAATCTCTGCCTGTTTTCTATGCGCCTTGGAGTTAATCTGTATGCATCAAACTGGCCTAATAAAGGGACGCTTTTAAATTCAATAAACTCTAATTTCCTCTGGCCTCTTTTACTGTTTTGCTCACTCTCTCCATCTCCCTTCTTTTCTCTTCACTTGCTCGATCTCACCTCCAGAATTAAAAGTGCTTTGCTTTTTGGCATGAAAATTAAAATGAAAACTTGCCAAAGCATCAAAAACTTTTTAAGTGATCATCTTTGATCTTTCTGCATGAGTGTGCTGTATAAATCAGACCCTTCTCTTCTCTGTGTCTCAGGGTCTAACTCGTGGCAGGTTGTGTCTGCTGGAGGTGCGGTGGTCCAGGGAGGTTACGGCCACAGCAGCGTGTACGATGAGGCCAGTGGCTGCGTGTTTGTCCACGGGGGATACAAGGCACTTAGCAACAACAAATACGGCCTGGTGGACCACATGTACCGATACCACGTCCAAACGCAAACATGGTAAGAGCACAAAATAGTATTACCTATGAATATGCATCTGTATTATCAGCAAACGTCGAGGTGTTAACCAGACACTGATGTCCCGCAGCGATGCTGAAACCTGCCAACACGCAAATTGCATTGACATCCGCAGTCAGACTATATCACCTGCCTGCATCATTGTGTATAAATCGTTTATCTTGTCCCAGATAGCAGGGAGCTGAGCCAATCCCATAATGCACTAGGTCATAGGCAGGCATTCTGGACAGGTTACCAGTCATTCATAAGGCTGATAAACCTATGAGAAAATAACACTGCTGTACTGTAAAAAATATATTCAGGTAACTTTGGTAGATGTCAAACTTGCTGGTTTTTTTTGTTGTTTGTGAGACAAGAAAGACTGTTTGTGTGTTTGTGCATTTACTTCGTACTCTATCCAACTACAGTCTTGAGGTGCAGTTTTGTTTTGTCTCCTCTCTTTTAGAGTCCAGAGGGTAATTTAGCTTTTTTTTTAACTCAAGTACATTTATCTGATGGCGGTTAATGGTCACTCTGCAGATTTTACATCCATCATGAGATCATTAAAATATTACATCCACCCTTTTGCTTTTTAACATTATCTAAATGTAGAAGAGCATGTCCTCTTTTGACTGATCTGGAAGAATTGTATTTTTTATAAAATTATCTTATTCAGTTTCATCTCTTTTTTTTATTAATTATTTTGGCAATTTGTTTAACAGATTCTGATACATTAACACATGTGACAACAATAACCTTCTTAGAGGAACCATTCTTGACTATAGTTACATTTGACACTTATGTAAAAACATTTTTAAATTTATATTTGTGAATGCAGGACTTTCCCTATTTTCTTCTCTTTGATGCAGTGATGCAATTCAAATAAACCTGTAATTATGATAATGAGTTATTATATATTGTATAGTGTAGTGTAATCCAAACTTACAATGATAATTATTAACATGTTACATGGAAAACTTGTCATAGCAGTTCTCACACATATATAGATATTACAAAATTAGTTTTTTGTTTTATAGCCATCATCACTGTTGAGCCTTAGCAAATTAAACAGATGGTCCAAACCTGTATGTAGACACGATGGTGATTTTTATTTTCAAAATGTATGCAAACACTTTTAGAGAAGGAAAATTAGCATACTTGAGTCAGGAAGAAGAGAGCATGGTGAGAATGGAAGGAAGTGACAGGGGTTTGACCTCAGGTGACCTCAGGCAGATGGATGGGTGAAAGAGGACGCTTAGCTCTATCAGTCTCTCCTCTTCTTGTAACGTACATTCACGTGTGCGCTACACACACACACACACACACACACACACACACACACACACACACACACACACACACACACATTAACCAACATATGCTCACATGTATTGTACACACACATACACAGGCAACCTGCAGTCTCTCTGTGGCTCTCACTTTCCAGATGGAATTTCTTGTCGGAGTCAGGTGTCACTTGAGCCAGTGAACTTTTGAAATTCTCAGACCAAAACATTTCAGGGTGTTCCAGCTATTCCATACAGCTCCAGCCTCAATGTAAAGATCACCTCTTCTCTGACAGCAAAAAAACCCCCTGACAAGTCTACCAGTGCAGGATTGAGTCCTGTACATGGCAGCTGCTTATTAGTGGTCCAAAAAGTCATTACATTATGGTTCACTAGGCTTACTTAACATCCATTTCATTTTATTTCACAAAATGAAAACAAAAATGAATGAAATGCAACTGTTTCCTTAAATGTAATGCCATCTCATTCAGGCTTTTAAGACAGTTTTTTTCTAATCATAATGTGTTAATTAACCAAAACAAGAACAAGACAATACAAAAGTTAAAATGATAAAAAAAAGGAGAAAAGCTGCCCTTGTTGTCTTCAATGTCAGTAAAACCAAGTTAACTAATTTCTGTGTATAATAGTTTGGTAAGTTGTCTTCCTCTTCCTTTCTTTGTTTATTTAAACGCAACACTCCCTCCATGTTTACCCATTTTCTTGATAAATTTAGGATAATAAACACTCTGTTACCAATTCATCAGGTACACCTAGCTAAAACTTTTGCAGTTGAATACGACAGCCCTGCAAAAATTACTACCTTTTGTGAAGGTTATATTTAGTTTTTGGAGTGTTTGTGCTTGCATTGCTTTATACTAATAACGTTACACACTAATAGTGTACCCTCATTGATATAACTGGGTGGATGGAAGTTTAGAAACACCCTTTTGTGACCTCAGACGTCTGCAGACCCACAACGATAAAGTGTTTACTTATTAATGTATGGAAACATTTTTTTTAATTTCAGTGGCATAAAGTTCCGAGAATGACTTAAATAATTTTCCAACACAGTAGTGGTCAGTCTTTTTACTTTTGGTTTTAGTTAGACCTCTCACTAAACACAGAGTAATCTAAGGGATGACCAAATTAACAAATTATTCTCTTATCTGGATGGGTTCTTCCTGTGTGTTCATCAGTTACGAGGACTCAGTGTGTTCCTTTTCAGAACTGTCGAACATCAAAGTCTCTGGTGGAAAGTCTGAGTTGCTGCAGTAATTGAAGAAGCCACAGATAGCCACCACAGTTGGTCTCCAATATGTGACCTTTGACCTCAAAGGGGTCACACACAGCAGACTGAGACCTCCTACAACGTCTGTGTTGAGTGTTTCTGTATCCTTGCGTGTGTGTGTGTGTACTGCTCCCATGAAAGAACAGTTGGTATGAAGGGCAGTCACCACAGGCCAGGTCACACACCCAGACAGACGCCATCAATAACATGGCACCATGGACACATGCATGCTCGCAGACATGCACACATATTTGACAAATTAACACTTTCTTAAAATGTCTCAACTTGCAGAGTTGCACTTTTTTTCTCTGACTGTGTGTGTGTGTGTGTGTGTGTGTGTGTGTGTGTGTGTGTGTGTGTGTGTGTGTGTGTGTGTGTGTGTGTGTGTGTGTGTGTGTGTGTTCAGGTTGATCCTCAGGGAGAGTGGTCTGGCACGGTACCTCCACTCTGCGGTGCTGCTGAGCGGCACTGTGCTGGTTTTTGGGGGAAACACTCACAATGACACGTCGCTAAGCAACGGAGCAAAGTGCTTTTCTGCTGACTTCATGGCGTACGATATAGGTAAGAACAAGTCTTAAATAATCACACACATACGCCAAGGAACTGCTGGAACTGTATTATGCAGCAGATGTAACACATATTAGGTAAATGGCCATATGTACTGTAGCTCTATCTACTCAAATTGAAACCTGCTTTTACTTCATAGGTGCAATACCAGGTCAGGATGGCCTCCATGCAAGCTCATTTTAAAAGGCATCATTACATGAGTTGTTATTCATTACTCTTTCTTAGCAGTGACAATTCCGTTTTTTACCAATATTGTTTTTGACCCCAGTTCACCTCGTCAGCCTCCGTTGTTGTTGAAATGTGTCAATGAAAAAAGTTTTCAAAGCTTTCCAAGAAAAAGTGCAATAGAGCAACATCTAACAAACGGATTTCCTCAAAGATTAATCATATTATATTTGATACATAATTCATACATACTATTCTCAATTAATGTACTATCAAACATATTCACCATACTGTGTTTACCATGCTACATACTGTGTTAGCTTGTGATAATAATAATTGAGGGGCATACACACACATCCTGATAAGCCAGTCTTTAACTCATGATGACCGACTGAGAAAAGAGATTTAATTTGTTCTTATTAGTCATTCATAGTGCCTTTCTAGACACAGAAACACACATACATACAAATGTTGAGTTTTAACTGCTGATTGTGAATCAAAATTGTGCAGCAGCAGCATTTGATGTAATGCCCTTAATGATGCATACTGTCTGTAGAGAGGGAAAGAGGAAGCTTACAGTAACAGAGCCAAAAAACAACAACAGAAAATAATCTGAAAGAGCCTGTGAGGAAGAAAACAGGAGTATGTCAGGATACAGAGACTGTGGTATAGGTAAAGAGTATGGATGATTAAGGATCCAATTACAGGCTACCCAGTTGCACCATAGACCAGATGGCACGAGGATGTTTCCACCCCTCGACAGGTACAGAAAAATGGAGCAGTGAAGGGAGCTTTGGGAGAGGAAAAGAGGGATTACATCAACTCTTCACAGGAGAGAAACGACAGGGAGCAAAGAGATTAACACAGTGGAGACAGAAAGGAGGGAAAAAATGAAAGATGGATGTGTATGCATGGAGAAAGCGGCTTTATGGTGTTATGGAGTGTGAAAACATTAAAAAAAGAAAAAAAGATGCCTGTGTTCTTTACAAGAGGACCATGAGGTAGCAGGAGCATGCTGGTGGCTCAGCAGGCAAAGCTGCTTCCATGTCCTTGTAACACTGTAGTGAAGTGGCACAATTAATTGTATCCTGTAACTGTATGTTGAAGTTGCTAATGGTTAGGTGTCCTTTAGTGCCGAAACAATATTTTATTAATCCGTAAGTTGATTGACAGAAATAATCTAAAACATTTATTTCCCATATTGGTTGGGCTGTAGTCTGAATTGTATGCAGTCTGTTTAGCTCTGGGTAGGTTCCTTTTGTATCTGCCACAAGTCTCTGTTGTGTATTTCAATATGTCTTAGTACCCGACAGGATCCAAGTGCACTGTTTTAGCTCTGATCATGTGGCATGTTGTAATAATCATAGGGGAAACCTGTTTTTGGGAGGTGTGTGAGTGAGTGTGAACTGTGGAATGCAGAGAAAAACATGTTTTGCTGCTCTTTTTGATACTGATTGCTAGTTAATGCTGCCACTGTTGGGGTTCTTTCTCTATTATGGTCCTTTTCGGTTGAATACATTGTATTATATTCAGTTCTTTTATGGACCCATTTATGATTAAGGTCTTTTATGATTAAGTCTCCTTTTTAAAATAATTCATTTGGGTAGGTGTCCCAAGATTTTGTTCTCATGAAGACCTCCAGGTCAGACAGAAACCAGCATTATGAAGCATTCTTCAACCAGACAACAAGGTTCCTGCCTGGGTTGTTCTGCACAATCACAGTCCTCTGCCATTGGCTACTGTGCAGCTCAATGAGAACTTAAAGGTCCAGTGTGTAACATTTAGGAGGATCAGTTGGCAGAAATGGAATATAATATTCATAGGTATGTTGTCATTAGTGTATAATCACCTGATGTAACAATTGTTGTTGTTTAATTACATTAAAATGAGCTGTTTTTATCTACAACGCCACAGGTCGCCTCTTGTGGCGGCTGCCATGTCATACCACCATGTTTCTACAGTATCCCCGAACGGACAAACCAAATGCTGTTTATAGATTGGGCCGTTGAAAGGGAGAGGGAAGCCATTGGGTTTGAGCTGCAGTCTGAAACTACAACACTAGATGCCAATAAATCCTACACGCTGGACCTTTAAGGGCCTTGCTCAAGGGTGTCTCAGGAGTGGTTGATTGAGGATGAGACACATACAGTATTTTGTACTGTATTTGTAGGGTATTTCCTTTTCTTATTAGTATGTAGAGTATATAGTATAGTATTTTCCACAATTACTAATCATTATATTTTTTTCCTAGATAGAATTCTTGAGTACTAGTTTGATTATTTTTAAAAGCCAACAGTTCCACAAGTTCACTTTTTTTCTAGAGCTTTCAGTCGTGACAAAGGCTTCATACTTTTTACTTTGATGCACTGGGCTATCCTATGTTAAGTGAGCAAATGTGCTGAAGAAGACCTTGAGACATGGATAAAAGCTGCAGGAAAAGCTGAACCTTGAGTTGAACATTTTATCAAAAAAGTACAATGGTAGTTTTTTCAAACATAATCAAAATTTTGTTTTCTAGTGTTATCATCTAGCCCTTTGTTGGTCCAAATTCCTCTCCCCTCCTCCTCTTTCTTTCATAGTTCTTGTCACTCTCTGCTGTAAACGATGTAATAAAGGGGCAAAATACCAGGGAGGATATTGGTTAGATAAAGCAGTGAATGTGAGGAAGAAGATGAAATAAGAGAGCAGGGCATTGAGGAAGGAGAGCGGGATTATAGAGCGGGAGAGAAATAAAGAGTAAATGAAGGAGGGATTTAGGGAAAGAAAGGAGACGACGTTGGAAGAGAATTACCTAAAGACAATAAAGGTGTGCCAGGATGAAGCAGATAATAAGCTTATGAATAAAAAGCAAAATCCAAGGTAATAAGCAATAAAGCATTTGTTTACAGAGCGTCTCCATCTTGGAGAAGTTGGAGGCAGTGCAGTGTTGAATGCTGTCCTGTTTTTCGCCCCATCAACACTTGCAGTAAATGTGTGTATTTACATGTCCCTCAACTCTGCACAAACACACCCCTTCTCTTTATAAATATCATAATTTATTCATTACAGCTCATATCTGCAGATCTGCACTACTTTATTGTCCAATAGCCACCTCTCTGACTCACTGCAGAGACATGGGAGGGAGGGAGGGTAGTGATGATTAAAAGAGAGAAAAGAGAAAGGAAGCTACAGTGAGAGACGGTGTGTTAAAGACACTGAAGACAAAACTATGGAGCCATTATTGTAGCAAAACTATTTACAGATGTGAGTGGAGAGTTTTGGAACTGAATCTCAGTCAGTGTGTGTCAGAGTCTGTAACTATGTACTGATATTTGTGAATGTTGACAGTGTGTTCAGAATCCACGTGTAATCAGATTTGTAAATGTGTATATAGATCTGAAAATGGCAAATGGCAAAAGTGTAGCAATAGTCCTGAGTTGTAATTGAGGAATAGTCTATTTCCAGCACTTGGAGCACATACTTGTGCTCAGCCATTAATATGTATGTTTGCATTTACAGATTTGTGTACACATTTACAATTCTCAATACATTTGGGAATCTGAATAGAGAGTGGTCGGTATTTTTGTGTCTGTGTTTACGCACGCAGGGATTGAGATACAGTTACACAACTCTCCACTCACATTTGTAAATAGTTTTGTTACAATAAAACAGACTCTGAACTGGAGGTTGTAGGGAGCGGTGCTCCTACATATTTGAAAAAAGATACTTGTGTTAGTTTTGAGTATGAATTTTCTGATCCTGGTACTAGGAATCATTTAACAATAAAGTTTCTCATTGATCTGCCTGCCCATTTTTATGCAGTTAGCCAGGATTTACACGCTAACACAGGTAACTGCAGATCACAGGTTAAATTCAGATGCATAATATATTGAACATGTTATATGGAATCACTCCAGTTTCTGTGGCAGCCATGTTCTCGTTCTTGAGAAAGTTCAGCTGTATGTTGTGTGTCACTGGTTCAGCTCAGTTGCTTTTCTTCCCATGGTTCTGCTAAACAGTCTCATATAACCCAGAGAGGGATTATGCGGAATTAAACTCCTCTACTGGGCCAGTGTTTAACACACTAAGGGGTTATGATGAGCTGAAGAAACAGTTTAAACCTGAGCCAACAGGAGAAATGTCTACCAGCTCCCCTCTCCTTGTTCCTGTTTTCTGTCTTTCATTTAAGACACTCATTAAATGATTTTAGTACGATGTTTTCTTCTAATCCAATATAAATCTATTTATCCTGCACAATTCCCTTTAGGGTATTAAGGTGTCATTCACATAATAGATTTTTTTAGAAATATTTAATCTATGTTGCAGGTAGAAGCAAGTGTGAACAGTGGATTATAAGGCTGACACTCAGGTGGAAAAAATATTCTTGTTATATCTATGAGGGAAATAACTGTAAAGATTCTAAACAACTGTGATTTTCTTTAACAGAGATCCATTTGGTAACAGAAGTAGATTTGCAGTTGTGACAGAAAGAAGTTCTTAACATTTGTTACAGTGGAAACTGCTCACTTCTCTATCAAGTGCTTCTTCAAAAAAAGAAATGACAAATTTTTAAAGTACTTACCACCATACCAGCTGATTATAGCCCTTTCCAGGTAACTTCTTTCAAGGAAATTATTTGGAATTTTAGGAATTTAAGGTAACATTAAAATAAAGGATTATTTCATATTCCTTTTAGTTCATATAATAGTTTCCTAGTAGAATGCAATTTTTTTGCTGTCTGTCCACCTTGTCTACTTCCCTCATGCTTTCTACTCCATATATATCTCCTCCCCTCCCTTTCCTCCCCTCTCCAGGAGATAATCAATTGTTCCACCTGTGGAAGTCACTCTCTCCATCCCTTGTTTCGTCTTCATTTGCTCCTCCGTTCCTCCCTGCCTCCCTCCCAGTGGAGGGGTTTCGAGCACTAATTTGTTTTTGTTTTGCTGCGCTAACCTTGGAGGGGCGACACGCCGTTATTAGCTTCTCCTGCTCTTCTGCTGCCACACATTAGATTCAGGTCGACACGGAAGGCACTTTTCATTTGGATTTAATTCTCCCTCTCCCCCTCCAGCTCTCCCTCCCCCTCTCCCATCCTCCCCTCAACCCTGCCTCCCTCACACTTCTAATTAGATTTGGGGGGAAAATGAACTCTGATTAAAAACGCGGTCCTCTCCAAGTTGACACACCACAGGCCCACTCCCACACTCTGCTGCACGCAAACACACACCTGACACACACACATGGCACAACCTATTGAAAAGCCCAGGGCTTGTTGGAGTTTGTTTGGGAGATGTTGGGAGCTGTGATATATTGGAGGAGCAGAGAGTGGCTGCCGTTCAAACCACCTCCTCCTCCTCCTCCCCCTCCCCCTCCAGCCCTTCTTCATCAAGTCCTCCATTAGTGCAGATCAGATCAAACTGTCAATCAGCCCGGTCCGCCTGCCTGCTTCGATCTGGACTCATGATTTGTCTCTCTGTCCCACCATGCATTATTAACACAGATTTTCTCATATCCTGAGAGGAAATTAAAATGTGTGTGTGTGTGTGTGTGTGTGTGTGTGTCGGCTGATAAGTATCTGTTGAGCCTGCAGTTCTCTGCCGGACTATTTGGCAGCGTCAATCTCCGGGTGGTTGGTTAAGGTGTGTGTGCACAGTATAGCCAGAAGATCAGCTCAAGTCACTGAAGCTCTTTTTTTTAATTAAGCAGTAGAAGTTTAGCTGTGGTTGGAAGTTGGAGGTCAGGTGTGATGGGCTTTTGAAACTTCACCATCCCAACAGAGCTCTTCATCTGATCATTCTTTAACAAACAACTGTTAAAGATAAATCACTGCACAGCTGCAGTATGTGCAAAATTACCATTGCCACTTTCTGCTACAGGTCATCATCCAGTTAACTACAGGATTTCTAACCCTAATGCCACACAGAAGGTTTCCTCTGCATTATGTTCAATGACAACATAACATTTTACATAACAACTCCCATCATATCTGCTTATGAAAACAACATAATGAGATTGCTTAAGAAAAGCAAAGATTAAATGTTGGAATGTGACTCGCTATATAAGCGACTATTCCCTATTCACATTGGCATTGGAATCCAGATCCTCTCAGCTCAACCCTAACCAGCTAAGAATTTTTTATTTTTGTTACATTCTAGACCATCATGTCAGCCCTCATGTTTTTTTTGTAAATTTTCTCTCCCAACACGATTGTTAAAATACTAAATAAATTATCCAGACTGCCAGGAATCCTTTTTTTTTTTTTTTGGCTAAAACAATTTATGTCTAAATATTGAAAAAATACAGAATACATCTGCAAACCTGACCATGTTTGAGTGCAAATTCAGAACATAAAAACCTCCTCAGACCATTAGAAGCCCCCAAATGAAAAATTGTCATAAGTCAAAAGGAAAATTAACGTTTAATTAGTATGATATATTGTGAAAATAAATACTTTTGAAACAAAAACAAAGCAAAATACATTTAAAAATGGCCCAACGGATCAACAGTCCTAGCCTCCACAGTTGGACACTGTTTTCAAGGAAAAGGACACAGTTCCACTGTCTGACTGACTTCCCAGCACTACTGAAGCTCATTTTAGCACTCAAAGTGCCTAGCATCAAAGGTGAAAAATGTGTAAACTTTTAACACCACATGTGCCACATGATTCAGATGGATTACATTTGCTACACAGCAGTGCACACCTGGAGCCCCTGCTGGCGGATGATTACCTAAGCAAAGGTGCCAATTTGATTCAGGGATTTACAGGTTATATCAAAATACAGTTGACAAAACATCGGTGTAGACCTGGAAATAGATTCTGCAGGGGTATCACAGATTCAAATCTCCAGACTGAGTTAAAAATGTCCAATGTTTATTGCAACTGTCTAGCAGGTTGTTTAGCAAGGAGTTTTGCCCTCTTAGTTCATTTATAGAATTTTGTTCCCTGACTTGTGTCTCTCAGGTAGCACTTCTAGGTGTTCTGTACTGCCCCGACACGCTTCACCAATCAAATACAGTGACAATGGTAACGTAATTGTTTATATCCTGTTTATTGTAGTGAAATTCCAAAAGTCCATTTATACGCCATTATCTGTCAGAACGTTGATATGACTGTCTGCACAACTCTGGATTATGAACTGTGGCAAAGGTATTATGTCAATGTTTTTAAAATGATCTATTTCAGCAATATCCCTTCACATGCTACTACTACTACAAAGTTCAGACTGTGACTGGACATGCACTCTGGTCTCCAGCATGAAAGTTAGACACATCTTTCCATCACCCCAACCTAGTTGTTGCATGACACACGTCTCATGTTTTAAGTCCACACATTGGAGGTGTCTTGAGTTGTGCCAACGTGTGAAGGTACACCAGTGTTTCTACTTGGATCGCTGTTCCGATTGGCACATCCCAGCTGCTGTACCTGGACTACTTCATCTCTCTGTATGACGTACCAGGTGGTTGCTACAGGTGTCAGTTGTCAATGCTTCCTGCATTTGTACATTGGTGCTGGACAACAATGATTAAAGGAATCATTTGACATATTGAGAAATTCACTTTCTTTAAGGGAGTGATGAAGATCAGTACCAATCGTGTCTGCACACTAAATTTGAAGCTGGAGCCAGCCTCAGTCAGTTAGCTTTGCATAGCACAAAGACTGGGAGCAGGGGCAAACAGCTACCCAAGCTCTGTCCAAAGTTCAAACTTCCTCTAAATGTTTCTAATTTTGTTTAATACAACCAAAGTATCATATCAAACTATTTATTTTACAAATCTAATGCCTAACATGGAAAGTATTTTTTTTTAACAAGAAGTAAAAGACATATTTCACATTTAAGCTCATGGTAATGGCAGGTGTTAGTTTATGGTCTACCTATCCTAGCAACGCAGAGCCTGAAAAGCTGTACTGAGGGAACAAATGCTCCTGTTCGTACAGTTGCCTCCAGCTGCAGTGTGACCAGGCTTCAGTTGCGCTTGATTGTACCAGCGTAACTCTGGTTTGCGTGTAAATATGAGCAACCTTTGACCCCTGCCAGTCATGAACCCATTGTTCTTGGTGCTGATTAGAATGACCCCCCTCCTTCTATCCTCTCACCTTGTCCTCTGCCACATCCCTCGCTCTTAAACAAGCGCTCCCAATTAGCACACCGCTTAACGAGGTCGTTAGCAACCTGCCGCCCGAGTCCCAAACTCTACCAGCTCTCAGTTTACGTTCAGGGAAGGCTCATGTGTGCTAAATGGCACATTTACACTAACACACCACAGACACTGACAGACACACACACATACACACACCTACACACACACAGAGTCATTTCCATATTAATATAATGGGAGCACGTAGGGGTCATTAAAACATCAGAGAGTTGTAAAATCCAAATAGTAAAATACACAGAGCTGATAGCTCCATGAAGAGAGAGAGAGAGAGAGAGAGAGAGAGAGAGAGAGAGAGGTATTTATATTTGGTATGAAGTTTTTTATGAAGGTGTGATGAAATTAGGAGAAAGGGTTGGACTATAGGTCACCCTTCTCTGTTCTCTCAAGCAATACCTTGGGTCTTCCTTATTCCAACAAAGACAAGAAGAATAGAAACTGTCACATGATTTGTCTCATTACTCTGTTTTGACTCACATCTGCATGCCCAAAATACAAAATAAGATGAAAACTGTGTGTTTGTCGTCTGGGGCTGTTTGATTGTTTCGATTTATTTCCAATTATGTGAAATTTACAGAATGACAACAATGACATTTTAGAGTAATGTGCTTCCAACTGGCAGCAGTTTAGGGAAGACCCGATGCTGTTTAAACATGACAGTGCCTACGTGCACAAAGCCAGGTGCCCAAAGAAACGGTTTTCCCAGTTTGTTGTGGAAGAGCGTGACTGACCTGCACAGAGCCCTGACCTCAACCCCATCCAGCATCTGGGAATACTGACAGTAATCAAAGCCTGGTGGAAATCCTGAAACCAGAAGAGCGGAGGCTTGTTGTATTGCCGTTGTATTTGGACGTCCACTCAGATTTGGCCCCAATATGTTCCTGCAAATGTTGTAAATGAATAAGAACTGAATCACATGCCCACTGATTATTATTGCTGTTATTACCTTTAATTACATTACGGCCGTTTTAAGGTCTTTTATGTCATACTTGCTAAACTAGAACTTTGTCTTCATTCATGGAGAATTATTTGAACACAGTTTGATCACTTCATAACTGCAGAGAGATTTACATTTATTTTTATTAATTCATACCAGGTTCATAAAAGCGCTTTGAGTGGTCGGAAGGCGCTCTACAATACAGACTGTACAGGTCCATTTACCATTTACCATTAGTGTTTGAATGATTTATTAGAGTTGATTTTGCATGGCAAGGAGGTGTCCTCTAAAATGAAATGTCAGGGCACAGCAAATATACAGTGGTTTTAATTCAGTTTAACCTGCATTAAAAATGCTGTTTATTATTTTCTAAAGAAACTGACCGTCTATTCATCAGTCAATTTAACCACAGTAGACAAAAGAGTTGCATAAGGATTTTTGGTATACTAATTATATATTATACTGATTTCTGTGGTCAGTTGCCATGGTATAGGCACAGTAAATATAAGAAAATAAATCATTCAGTAGACTTAAAATCATGGACTTTCTGATTTCAGACACAGACGCACTCTCAAACACACAAAGATAAAATATTGTATTTAGATATTTGTTTATGTGTGTATGCTTCTCCTCAGCTTGTGATGAATGGACTGTCCTCCCTAGACCAGGTCTGCACCGGGACGTCAACCGCTTTGGACACTCTGCTGTGGTTAGCAACGGGTGAGTCCTGTCCTTCCATACTAGTTGGGAAATACTTTTTTTAAACACCTCTGGAGAATATCTGACTACAACAGCACCTCTGAATTTACTAGAATTTGTTTCATTGCTTAAAGACTCTTAATTACATGTATGCAAATTCCAATCTAGTCACGTTGCATTATTGTTTGGCACATTTTCTAAGTTCCTTGATGTCTTCCTGCAGTGTCCTCTAAGTTTTGGCGGCACTGAGAGTCTCGATTGACTTTCCCAGATTATGGTTTTGTTGTGCAGATTGTTTATGGATTGATCTCTTTATCTCAATGTTATATTTAGTTTCAGTTTACACTTTTCTTGTCACTTCTCCCTCTGCTGACGTCTCTGAAGTTCTCTGTTTAGAAACTTGGCTTTGTGTCTGCCACCTCACCTCTTATATTTGGATGTAACTTTCTTTACACCTTCCATATATAGATACAGTGTGTATATGCACTCTGTATCTCTCTTTATTACCTCAAGAGCTCTTTTATGCCTCTCCCATTTTTGAATCTGTATCTCTGAATTTCACTATAGCCTCATTCAGACAGAAAAGTTGGTCGATCCAGTATTTTTATCCTTTAGTTGTGGTTTCTATAAGAATTGGAATGTGGTTTTTGAATCGCTGTATTTGCTGCAAAGTAAGGAAACCGCCAATGTTTTCTTGTTGCGATTTTCCTTTCCTGACCTCATGAAAAAACTGGCCAAATGTAGATATCACATATAGGTTCATCAGAGCTTCTACAGTATAGACTGATCACAGGTTTTATTTCTTAAACATGATTTGTGAACATCTGTCCCTTTGAATCAGAGAGATTGGTAAAATCAAAAATTGTAATTGACAGCACTTACTCACACTTAAAACGTTTGCTGAAAGAGCTCCATCATGATGCAGAATAACTTATTGCTGAACTTAGAATGAATGAAATAATGGTCTGACCCTTTAACACCATTTACCCACCAAAAAGTCAGCTTTGAGCACAAAAATGTCAGCTTTGAACTTCAAAAGGCCAGCTTCAAACCGCTTTTTCTCCCACATTTTTTTTCCCCGTCTCCAGCTTTATTTTTGAAAGGTTCTCCTGCTTTCTTAACATTTGTTCATCTGTCTTCATCTCTGCAGGCATTTCTTGTTTCTTTAAACTAAGACTATCAGGTTGTAACTTTTGCTATGTCGCTTCCTTCCTGCTGTATGTACAGGTTTCTATTGCCCTTGTGATTCTATATTATCCTCTTTGTATCTTCTTCAGCTCCATGTATATCTTTGGAGGTTTTTCGGGCCTCCTTCTGAACGACGTGCTGGCCTACACCCCTCCGTCCTGCCCGGCCTTTTCTAACCCAGCTTCTTGTAATGCTGCTGGGCCGGGCCTTCGCTGCCATTGGGTCAAAAGTAGATGTGTCCCCTCGGAACCAAGATCACCTGAGCACATTTTTCCAGCTCCTTTTTGCCCTCCACGACCCGGTACGTTACAGTGGGGTCCTATCTGTCCAACTGTTTCTTCAGTATCCGTATCTGTTACTATCTTTCACTTTCATGTCAACATATTTTCAGAAATGCACATCAACAACCGCTAAAGTGCTGCTCCCAAAAGGCCAATTTTTTCATGTAAATAATACTTATTCTAAAGGATTGGTTTCTGAAGTTTGTTTGCATATCATAATTATAGGAACAGAAGGTCAGTGCTGCAACAATTACCTCATTTTGAAGTAATTAGAGTCAGTCCAAACCCTCTTGTCCCTCCCCCCCACCTGTGTCTGCCAGATGTAGATGCAGTAGCTTTTTCAGGTATTCTGCTTCAGGCAGTGCACTGCCGGTTTAAATAAAAAAGCAATCAGGCTAATGGTTGCACTGTCAGTTTTAAATAGAGCAATTACACATGATTTGACTGCCTTAAACCACCATACCGCAGTTTTTTCATGTTTAGCCATATGTACTACAAATCATCCATCCTTTACATGCATTTTGTATTATATTTCACATTTTATTATGTACCATTCCAGGGATTGTTTCTGTAAAATATTTGGCTTGTTGCATTATCACAACGAGATAATAAGTGCAGACCATTTAAATCAATCCTCCGTTAAACTAAAAACGTGTCACACAAATGTACCCAGAAACATCTGCAGAACAGTAGAAAAATCCAGAAATCAAAGATCGTATGAAATGGTTGCCAATCTATCAGGAGTCGATGGATTAAGGATTAGGTGTCCTAGGTCAGTCTTCAGCCTCTGCTTTAATCTCACAAGCATGTTTATTCTACAAACGGCCACACAGCATTTATAAATGACCAGCGTCAAATACATCTATATAACGTAACACTCTTTCATGTGCAAATACCTTTTAATCACATCCAGACAGGCTAATTCCATGTTTACACTGGAAAAACTGGACACCGCACATGTCTATACAGCAAATTCCTGACCAGATATTTTGAAAAAGTGCCAGATGGACATTTCAATCATTATTTTCACACTAATGCAAACGGACTCTGACTTTTTACTCCTTTGCTAATCTCGACATTGAAACCCTACTATCAAATTATGATTAGTGTCCATTGATCTTTTCTAATACAGCAAGTAGTATAAGACCTACATTGTCTTGAAAGGTAGATGTAGGAATTAAATATTTACTATGACAGCAGCAAACTGAAGACAGTTCAGTGTGGACAAGCTAGAAGGATCATACATTATGTGTTTCTTTCTGATATGCAGTGTTGGATAATAATGTAATGTCTTTTCTTGGTAGGTTAAATTCCACACAGTCTTTTGTCTCAAACTACTAATGCACATGCTCCATGTACACAATAGACCCATTTTCCCTAAGCAATCTAGCTGTGATTCACTCCTCAGTCTCTGACGAGGGAAAAGCATTACTACATTTGTATACCATTGCAAAACACAACCTATAGCAAAAATCTAACCTGATCTGCAAAATTGTCTGTGTGTGTGTTGTACCCTCTTCCAGACAGTACAGACGAGCAGTGTTTCCGGTTTTCAGACTGTGCGAGCTGCACTGCCAACACACGGGGCTGTCAGTGGTGTGAGGACAGGAAATGTATCTCTGCATCTAGTAACTGCACCGTGGTGAGTCTTCGTGAGACTGCAGTGTTCATTAGATTCATTAGATTAGTATAAGAGTGAGAGAGAGTATATGACTTACTGATGGTTTTGTTCATCCTACAGCTTTTCCACTAGTAGTGATAAGTGTAACGTTTGTCCGTAGGGTGGTGCTAGAGTGCAGGCCATAAGGTCAAAGGGGTTCATCCTCTGTGGAGCATGAATGTGCTCTGTAAGTTTCATTGCAATCTGTGTATTACATTATAAGAAGTAGAAATGAGCAACTACAACAAACATTATCTGTATTGGTATACTTACTTCAAATGGGTGGGGCTTAAACCGGAAGTGGATCGGGCCAACTGGATGTTGTTAATTTAAGCCTGAAATTGATATGGGTTGATCAGAATTATATTTATTAGAAAACTGTTTAAGGAACAGCCTCAGAATTGAGTTGTTTTATCTAGGAGTACTGATACTGACACATTTTACTACGATGATACTCGTTTTTTTTTGGGGGGGGGCTTTTATTGCCTTTATGATAGTGACAGCTGGAGACAGACAGGAAAGGGGGGCAGTGAGTGGGGATGACACACAGCAAAGGGCCGCAGGTCGGATTCAAACCCTGGGCCGCTGCTGCAAGGGCTAAGCCTCGGTACATGGGTCGCCAGCTCTACCCACTGAGCTAACCGGGCGCCCGATACTTTTATTTGTACCAGATACTGGTTTCAGACGAAAGTGGCCCTCAAAGAAAGCTCTGTGTGTGAGTGTCTGAAATGGAAGGGGTAGATTCTCTGTGTCAGGAATGACCGATGATATATATATCCAACATTAGAAGCTGTTTATCCACTTATGAAAGATCTAAGAGCTGAATAGCTGTTTCAGCTGTTCACCCATTTAATGCTTTTACACACATTATTTTGTCTGATGTACTCCAGTGCAAACAACCAAAACTCAACTCATCATATTGGTGTATTATCTTTTATCCTTTCAAGTATGATAAGAAATAAAATTTAAAAGATAATATATATATATATTTAGATGTGATTTAAGGTTTCTGTGATTTATATTTATAACTCAATAAGTATTTGTAATTTTTTGTACTTTTGCTCATTTGTACTCATTTTGTTTTCTCTCTGTCTCTTTCTCTATTTTTACTCCCAAACCTACTTTCTCTGTCTTTCTTTCTATCTTTGTCTGCATGCATGTTGCTTTTGTCTGTTTATGTGTGCTTGGCTGGGTTTAAATATCAATCTGTGAATGAATTTGTGTGTATGTGTGTGTATAGCTGACTCTGGAGCTGGCCCAGCAGCATGGCGGCGCTCTGTCTCTGTCTCCCCCACCATCCATGTTGTCTGAACATCAGCTGAGCTTGTGGAAGCACGGAGCCCGAAGGAGGGGACATGTGTGTATTATTTGACTCTTGATACTTCCTGTTAGGCAGCAGGTCGGGTAACATAAGGTTGAGATCAGAGGTTAGAGCAGTCCCTTAGGATATATGGCAATTGGAGTCATTCTTAATCCAAATATACATTTAATTCAAGTCTTCCATCCGTTTCTAACAAGCTTTCCTCGACAATGATTGAAAATTTGGTGTCCAGAATTCCGCATTGTATCAGTGAACTGGTATTTTCCAGAGACACACAGAGGTTATTTTCTAGACTGCATGAGTGCGGTATTTTGATGACTCGCCGTATGCCCCAGTGGGAGGAGAGGTAGAAGGTGTTGCGATGCCAATTCAGCGATGCACTGCAATCTTGATGCCAAGCATGAATGAGCGCGGTCCACTGCTTGTTTGCTTGGGGCAGGTTGAAAACTCGAATCAGTGCCAGAGAGGCAGAATAAAGATCACAGCAGTTAGTAGCATGTACTGCAGGTCTTTCATTTTACTCTGTGACTCTTTTCATAGTAAGGAAGCAGGTATTGGTTTCATCTGCAGTCTCTAACTGGAGTGATGTTGAGCCACAGTTATGCACTGCAGATCCACTGGGGTAGTTTTGTTCAACCAGCACCAGACTGTTGCAAAATTACCAAAGACACATCGGTGCCCATGTGCACAGCCAATTGTTCTATTGTAAATCAGCAGACGAGTTGCAGACTGACACACTGAAAACAGTTCCTTGAAAAATTGTAATGGAGTAACCATGGTAACGTCTGTGCGCGTCAGTCTTTTTAACGAGTCCAGCCTCTGTGTGGCCAAGTGTCGTCTGGAGCTCTATATTTTAATTAGAATTCAGGTATGTGGCTGTGATGAGCAACACAATGTGATGAAGATTGATTATTATTCTTGTTACTTATATTTATATTATTATTATTATTATTATTTATTTGTGGATCATTACCGTACCATATCATGTTTTTGTTGCAATATGAAAATAATTGGCTATATAGACCTATATATTTCCTTACCAGATTGTCAACAATTATTTCTGCATTTAAAACATTCAAATCCAATCCAAACAGAAATAAAATACATCATGCAAAAAAATAGATTGCATTTTAAATTCTACTTTCATTGTATTTTTGGCACTGTGGTGGTATTTAACTAAAGATGGTTATTGTATCTCTTTTTGAGTCTGTGCTTAAAAAGTGATGAAAGTGGTGATTGGTCATGATTGACAGCTTCTGATACGCCTACCCATGATATATGATGATGTATTATTTCTGAAATACCAAAAGTCTGTTAGCACGCCCCTTACGCACTGAACAGGGCACACTTTATTAAGTGACATTGAAAATCAGTCTTTACTAATCAAAAGCTTTCAGGGGTAAAGTAAATAATCCAGTCATAAAGACATTACAAAGGATCATAAGACACTGCCTCTGTTCTGAGCAGCAGTTACCGTACGCATGTATTAAAATGAATATTGTCTTATAAAACTAGCAAGCATTACTGCTATTATAAGTACAGCAGCTAATCAGAAAAAAGCTAAAATGTAAAAAAAAATATTAAAACATTTAGAAATCCTTAAAAAAATCTGGATCCAACGTTGCATGAAAAGCTAAACACTTATTTCCTGACTCATATTTTGACATCCTGCTAACTAACAATGAAACAAAACCAAACAAAAGCAAAAACTTCATTTTATGAGGTAATCGTAAAAGCATAATCTAATGAAAAAGAACAAAACAAGGTCAAATAAACAGAGGTCAAGGTTGTGATATTTACATAGCGTGACAAAGATGCAACATCCTTGTTTCATCCTTTTATAGGGGATAGGTGTGTGTTTTCTCTGGCTAAAACAGAACAAGGAATAACCCATTTTTGACACATTGTCAATTCACTTCAACAGGAAACTTTCAAATGAAAAAAAGATGCTGTGTCAGTAGCTTCTGACAGTCTGTCATTCCTTCAGGGAAGAACCAGAGAGTTTATTTCCTCTGAGGTTTTAGACAAAAGTAAAGTTCTATGTTCTGTTGAGATGAACTGGGATGAATATCATGTTTCTTCTGAGGTCTTAGATACAGTTGTAAACTTGAATATTTGTTCTAGTGTAAGTGAGATGTACACAACATATATAATAAACACAACTAATGTGTCCCTCATATTGATTTCCATCACAACCATCACACTTTAATTATCTTCGCTTGTTGCACATTGTATTGATTCCTCCAAGTGTATTGCATTGACTGTAAAAGATGACACTGATGATGAAGTTTAACTGGACTGATACTGCTTCCTGTGTGTGTGTGTGTGTGTGTGTGTGTGTGTGGTGTGTGTGGTGTGTGTGGATGTGTGTGATGTGTGAAGTCGGTGACAGACTCGTCCAGGTGTAAACGCAGGGAGGAGCAGGAGTGTTTCAGACTGGCCAACTGCAGGAGCTGCTCCCTCAATGTCAACTGTCAGTGGGAGCTACAGCAGCAGGAGTGTCAAGCATTGCCTGGTGAGGACGGAGACACACTGCACGCACGGAGAACAAGCATGCATGCAGCCTTCCACACACGCACACGCGCCATCATGATTGCACACATAGGAGTTGCATGAAACATGTTTTCTGACTTAAGATTTCTCTATCTGGATCAGACTGCACAATGGTAGACTGGTAATGGCCTGATCCAACAACGGATCCTGTTTGCTGTTTCTTTTCAGTTTATTGATGTCCTCCACCACCCAAAAGAACGTTTTTCTTCTTGTTCCTACGGTGTGATGTTTGATCTTCACAGTGCAGAATGATGTCTGTGCAGAGTTTGACACTAGAAGGATGTTTTCACATTCATCTGCTAAAAGTGGAAAGTTTCTCTGTGCTCATTGAAAATCTGTCTTTAAGGTGTGGGGCCTACGAGCATGATTTGTGACATCAAATAGTTTGGAATGATGTTGTGTGATTTCGAAACTTGAAGCTGCCACAGCACATACACTGAGAATGAACTTTACAGCGAAGTATGAGACATCTTGTGTCCAGCAGGACTTTGCATGTTCATAGTTTCTGGAATTTATAATGAGGTAGAAGGAGTAGTTGTCTTTTTATGGTTTTAAGGTGGAAATTACAGAACAAAACACACACAATATTGTTCCAAGCAGATCATTTGCATGTATATCTCAATGCATGGAGGGGATCTTTAAGGACACGGTCCACATGAAATTCATGAAGCTCATTTTATTCTGATTGAAAAAAAAAAAGGAAAGAAGTTTTTGTGACTTAGCACCTGTGGATTTGTTCCTAAGCTGCTTCGTAAGGCAGGTTGAGGCATTATGCAGCAAAATTAACACACAGAGGAACAGAAATGCATGTATGATGCATAAACTGTTTTATTAATGCATTGTGGAGCTTTTTGGTTACATATGATATTGGGGTGAATACTGTTTGATACATTATTAAGAGTCTGGCAGTGTAACCTTTAGTCTTTCAGACGGTCATGACTCTATAGTAAATATATTTATTTATCCAAGCTGGAAGGAGTGCTGTGTTTAGTTAATCATACAGTACAGCATACACACAGCTTCAGAACCGTTGCATGTTCCCACACTAACTGGCTGCATAATATTGGAGGTCTTCACAAATAAACACAACATCCATGCAGGCATGTACACAGCAGGGATTAGCATACATTCATGAACACATTCTTCAGAAATATGCTCTCCACTCAGTTGCAGAGGGAAGTAGGCCAATTAGAAGTATACTGGATGTTGTGAATATGGATCCTTGGCTGGCTAACAAACTCGAGTCCACAAAGTCCTCTATGCTCAGCTCAGCCTTTGGCTAGAGCTGCTCTCGGTTTGACTTTGGTGCTCGTATGACTAAGGGCAAAGGAAATACCCTTGCTATTTGAATCCACAAATGATTCTGTTCCATGCTGTGTTATATTGTGCTAAGGGCCTGCTAGCTAGCTAGCTAGCTTGTTCTGCCATCAGTTGGGAGTTTGCAGTAGCTTTAAGCAGAGGCTGGTATTGTGTTTGCTCCCTTTCTTCTGTCCACATGAAGGCCCTGTAGCCTGGTACATATCCTCCCCCTTCAGTTTGTTATGAACTGTTAGCTGGATATGTTGTTCAGTTGAGGTAAAATAGTGGATTTATACTTCTGGATTACAATCCCAGAAAGAAAGGGTTTTGCATCTATTTAATTTTTTAGATTGATTGCATGGAACCATTATTTGACTATACTTATACAACTTGAACTTAGTAACTGCTTCACGTTGAAATTTGGTCTTTTAAACACTGTTAAAAACAATCGATATGTTACTTGAATACCATAATTTTAAATCTACCTGTGTAAATATCTTTTGAACTGCAAACCCCTTAATCAGTGCTTACTGGTCATGGTGTAATCACTAGGCCTGAGTAGTCGCAAGAATTTCTAACAATCAGATTTTAGAAAAACACTCAACGAACACACCACCATATGCATATAACTATAAGTAATACAAAGTTTACTTTTATATGCAACCAGAACAGTAGGAACTGCATTTGTATTGATCACAGTCCTTGTAACATCCCACATCTTAGCCCTCACTTTAGGTTTACAACACTGCTATCTGGCTGGGGGATATAAACATAAAAATAAATAGTGTTTTGAGAATCGATATGATATCACATATACACATACACACATACATCACATATTGCGATACAATATATTTTGATATTTTCTTACACCCCAAGTAATCACTGTATTCTGTGGACATCAAATGAGTTCAAATGAAACTCCAATCAGGCTTCTGATGTTTTGTCTCTTTGACCCTGTTGATGTTCCTACAGATTGCAGCGTTTGGTCTGGGGCCAATTTCCACCGTTGCAGCTTTTCAACCTATTTGTACAACTCCTATTAGTACTTTTGTGTTTGGCAGGGTGCACACTAGTGTTTCCACAAGCACATACTGATCTGCTACATATTTTATTCTCTTTGCAGACTTCACGCATATATCCATATGTGTCGAAACAAATGGTAAAACAGCTTTAAACATAACATCTTTTATATTTCTGTTAAGCGTTGATATAATTAACATAATCTTCTCTAATTGAGCATATTTTCTGACTTTCCCATTCTACTGGTGCACAACGAAGTAGTTCATTTCCTGTTGATTTTTAAGTTGCAAAAACAGAGTAGCTTTGTTCATTCTGTTTTCTGTATGAATCAAAACAGGTTCCATTGGTTGCATGTAGTGCACATCATGCGACAGACATATTGTGGTTCAGTCCAAAATGACTGGGTGTCTCTTCTCTAGTCTCTGTACGTGTGAACAGTGCCATTTAGGACGTAGCCTTTTTAGAGGTCACTAGCCATACTGATGAAATGAGTCGGCCTTTGTGTCTTTGAGTCCATTAGCGTGACGAGACGCACTGCATTTTCACACATTTCTGTGATTTTCTGGCAAGATACATTTGCAGTAACAGTGTGGCTAAGACAAACTGGGGTAATGGAAACTAGTTCCACCACCATGGCAGCTGTGGCCTTTTCTTTAGACACCATGTTATGACTAATTATTCTAAATGGCCTGACATGTTTATCTCTGCTTTTACACAAAGGCCGTAACCTAATCTATCTATTTATTTTTGTACTCCTTTTTTTACCCCATTCATCTGTCTTTCTCCTCTCGTTTTGGTCAATTATTGGCCATTGCTATTGCTTGGGGTAAAAAAATAAAGACGGCACATATTTTCTTTTCTGTAGCATGAAAAGGTTGGTGATGGAAACCATTATGGGCCTGTGAATGTAATCAGTCCCGGAGTCCAAAATAAACAGCGGTGCTCAGAGGAGGCAGAATGGCTTTTTCTTCCCTTTCATCCTGGCTAATTGAACGGCCTCTCTACTATTATAGTCTCTCACAAGATGCTACCAAGTGACCCCGATAAGAACAATGAGTGCATATATGCATTTTTATGGGTGAGTTTGTTTGCCAGTCTTGGAGCCTTTGTTAATAGATTATTCAATCACCACAGATATTCACTTTTCTTTAAGTGTAACATATTTCTTCTGAAAATCCTTTTGGCACTGATGAGTCAGGTCAGCACAAAGCAAGAATGTGGTGCTCTGATCTAAAATAACAGCATAAATCAACAATTTCATCAGCCTCTAAAATCAGTCCACTAAGTTGTATTACTTATCCAGAAATATTTCTTTTAAAGCTGTTCAATTGTCTGATTCTAGCAGCACAGTTTATTTTCCAGGCCATCTCATCAACTTCAAATTCCAGCATCATTCCCTCCAGTTGCCCTCAGTGACTTTCCCTCCTTTGCAGATCCACTGACTGCCCACCTACCTGCACACTTGCTGCTCACTACCTCATTAGTCTCAGTCTATACGTCAGCCCTCAACCAGCAGCATCTCTGTGCCAGATTGTGCTCTGTTTGTTTTTGCAAACTGCCTCCCTACGTTGCCTTTTTGGATTTGTTTGCTGGTTCTGCCTGCCTACCCGTTGATTAATGAAGCCTGGTTTACCTCGACCGAGTAAACAGTATTTAACACCTCCTGCTGTCTTAGTCTGCTTCTGACTCACTACAGTTACATAAGGGTAAATCAACTTTCTGTCAAGCTGCCCATGTGTTGTATGGCATTTTCTCAGTTGTTTTGCTTTAACTTTCTTACAGTGGAAAATACATATAAGCCTAAATCTGAAACGTACTATACAGTTGTGGTCAAAAGTCTACATACACTTGTAAAGAACTTAATGTCATGGCCGTCTTGAGTTTCCAATAACATCTACAACTCTTATTTTTCTGTGATAGAGTGATTGGAACACATACTTCTTTGTCACAAAAAACATTCATGAAGTTGGTTCTTTTATTAATTTAATATGGGTCTACTGAAAATGTGACCAAATCTGCTGGGTCAAAAATATACATATAGCAGTGCTAATATTTGGTTACATGTCCCTTGGCCATTTTCACTTTAATTAGGCTCTTTTGGTAGCCATCCACAAGCTTCTGGCAAGCTTCTGGTTGAATCTTTGACCACTCCTCTTGACAGAATCGGTGCAGTTAAGCTACATTTTTTGGCTTTCTGACATGGACTTGTTTCTTCAGCATTGTCCACATGTTCTCGATGGGGTTTAAGTCAGGACTTTGGGAAGCCCATTCTAAAACCTTAATTCTAGCCTGATTTAGCCATTCCATTACCACTTTTGATGTGTGTTTGGGGTCATTGTCCTGTTGGAACACCCAACTGCGCCCAAGTCCCAACCTTCGGGCTGATGATTTTAGGTTATCCTGAAGAATTTGGAGGTAATCCTCCTTCTTCATTATCCCATTTACTCTCTGTAAAGCAACAGTTCCATTGGCAGCAAAACAGGCCCAGAGCATAACACTACCACCACCATGGTTGACGGTAGGCATGGTGTTCTTGGGGTTAAAGGCCTCACCTTTTCTCCTCCAAACATATTGCTGGGCATTGTGGCCAAACGGCTCATTTTTTGTTTCATCTGACCACAGAACTTTCCTCCAGAAGGTCTTATCTTTGTCCATGTGATCAGCAGCAAACTTCAGTCGAGCCTTAAGGTGCTGCTTCTGGAGCAAGGGCTTCCATCTTGCACGGCAGCCTCTCAGTCCATGGTGACTTGACACTTGACTGTGGACACTGACACCTGTGTTCCAGCAGCTTCTAATGCATTGCAGACCTGCTTTTTGGTGGTTCTCAGTTGACTCTTGACCATCCTGACCAATTTTCTCTCAGGAGCAGGTGATAGCTTGGGTTTTCTTCCTGATCGTGGCAGTGACACAACTGTGCCATGCACTTTATACTTACAAACAATTGTTTGCACAGTTCCTCTTGGGACCTGTAGCTGCTTTAAAATGGCTCCAAGTGACTTTCCTGACTTGTTCAAGTCAATGATTCGCTTTTTCAGATCCGTGCTGAGCTCCTTTGACTTTCCCATTGTAGCGTTTGTGGCCGAGTTTAATGATTGTATCAAATGAGCCCTATATAAATGGGCTCAGAGAAGTTGTAGTCAATCATAATCACTCACAAGAAGTTAAGAGGCCATGCCATGAAGCTAATTTAATTGACACAACTTTCAACATAACCAAAATTGATAATTCATGTTGCTGTATGTATATTTTTGACCCAGCAGATTTGGTCACATTTTCAGTAGACTCATAATAAATTCATAAAAGAACCAAACTTCAAGAATGTTTTTTGTGACAAAGAAGTATGTGTTCCAATCACTCTATCACAGAAAAATAAGAGTTGTAGAAATTATTGGAAACTCAAGACGGCCATGACATTAAGTTCTTTACAAGTGTATGTAAACTTTTGACCACAACTGTATGTTACAGATGCTCATGGTTAGCATGTTACTGTGCTATCTTAATATGATAACATTACAAGCTAAGCGTTAGCAGGCTCACTTTCTTATCATTAATTAACTGTAGACCTGATATAGTGAAGCTAACATGCTAAACCAACTGTAGGTAGCAGTACACATTACAAGCCCAACATTGGCTTTTAACATAAGCTACTAAACATTACAAGGTAAACATTACCATGTTAAAATGCTAATTATAGGTATATTAACATAACTTTATAATCTTTTTAATTATAAGCCAAGTGACCATGTTAATATACTAAACAAGCTAGAGTGAAATATTAGTCTTCAACAACAGTATGAGCCAGACATTAGCATGGTGAAAACTGTATGAACATTAAAATGCTAATGTTTAGCTTGAAATGTAATACAAATTAATAGGCATGTTAACATTGAAGAATTCCAATGTTCTGTGCTTTGAGTTTAATGCTAATATTGGCCTATTAATATGCTCTCAGTCAAACAGTGTTTACCCCTAAATAGGTTAGATCTAGCATAGGTGTCTCTTAGTATATATCCGACACACATTTTCCTTGGTGTTTCGTGAGGATCAAAGGATTACGGGGTTTCTAGCAGACAATAGACTTGTGTTTTTTATGCTAGGCCAATTTGATGACTAAGAATTAATGTTAACACAGATTTAATGAAGGTGTAAAAACAGTATGTGTGCCTTTGTGTGCAGGCCAGCTGTGTGGGGAGGGCTGGCACCATGTCGGAGAGGCCTGCCTGAGGATCAACTCCAGCAGAGAGAGCTATGATAACGCCCAGCACTACTGCAAAAACCTGGGAGGAAATATAGCCTCTTTGCTCACGGACAAACAGGTCAATTTTGTTCTGGAAGAGCTTCAAAAATACCAACTGCAAGACAAGGTGGGTGGTGTAAAAAATAAATAAATAAACTAATAAATAAACTTAATAATTGTAATAAAGGTGACAGGACTTGGTGAAAGCTATTGGTTCTATTCCACTCTTCTTTCTCTGCTTTACACAGTTGCTGCGGCTATTTGCACACTATTGTGCTGCAGGTCAATAACGATGTAAAAACCAAACTTCAAACATGCACCACGAACGGTTTGGATATTTTAAAGATGATTTTGATACAATACTCACATGCATTTATTATTATTGTTGTTCGTACTGGCAATGAGGTGATGTCATATAGTTCAACTCCAGTGTAAGACTTCATCCACAGCCCTCAATCTGAGCAAAAAATCATTCTGAAGGTCAGCTGAACATAATGAGGCTTCAGCACTCTGATATAGACAAATCAAGTGGCCAAGCTTCCAGAGTTAGGCTTTTTAGTATGAAATTCCCTCATCATGTTACTGTCCCTCATCTGCACCTCAACAAGGAAACAAAAGATGGAATTTCCCACTCAAAATATGAACTTGATTTGTCAAACTGCTGAAGCCTAGGCCTCGGCTGAAATGCAGAATGCGTTTTTAATGAGGACCATGTTCTATATCTCTTTCCTTAGACTTGCGTTAGTAAGGGATGGCTTTAGGGTCAATATGGAGAGGAGGTGAATGACTACAGCGATCATTTAAAGTCCACTGTATGACATCTGAACATTGTATTAAGACAGACTTGAATGCATCCAAACCTGTCATATCAGGCTGGTTTATAATGTAAAGTAAGGAAAGAAGCAAATGCAAATTCGTCAGTGCCACAATGTGTTTGTGGCAACAGCATATACGTACATGTGTGTATAGTCTAGTTAAATAGCTGCATCTAATGGGATGTTAGTGTTCAGCTGTTTTTATCTTTCCTGTAGAGACTGAAGTACTGTGATGTCCTGCTGATTGTGGACAACTGAACCCAGAGTTCTTTATAGGAAATAATGTACACAATACTGCTTCAATTCTATTGATTTATTCATTGTATTCCAAGGAATATGGGGTATCAAGATCATTCAATTTGAGTTATTAAACATGAACCCAGCAATGTTGTTTGCTATTTACTGATCAACATGTCCATATAACAGCCTCACTGTTTAAAATAAAATGTGAAAATGTTAAAAAAATTGTTGAAATTTTATAACGCAATGCCTCTGGCTTTAGGTTATTTAATAATATACATTTTCAAAAAATATTTTCACAGCACCACGAGGAGTTTTGATGTCGCCAGGTACAAAGAAGTGAAATTTCTCACCAGGATATTTCTGATGTGGCTTTTTTTTTAAAAACTCTACGAAGGGGTCAAAATAGGGAAACATTTTTAGCCCACCGTGAAGCACACAAATCAGCTTCATCATCGTTTTCTTCATCCCAGATGAGTAACAGGATGTGAATGCTTTTCACACTGAAATGTAGACTTGTACTGTTTGTGGTGGAAATGTCATTTGAGACCCTGACGTGTTTGACCACACACAGACTTTCTGATAAATGTGCAGCTTCAGGAAAAATGTGAGCAAATATTCGAAGGGTGTTAATTGAAACAAAGTGTGTTTCCCTTTCTTGCTCTCTGTCTTGTAGAAAAGTGCCTGTTTTTGTAGATAAACAGTTTTTATATTTCCTTTTGGTTGAAGGTGATTCTAAATCTATTCTGTTCTAGTTCCATTTTTTCAGTATTAACTTTCTAAGCAATTACCACATACCAGCCAGCTATTTGGGTGGTATACTGACATGCAAGAATACACACAGAGCAAGCTCTTTGTAATCCTTGATCCCGAAGCTTTAATTTGAAGCCTTTTGCATGTTTTTATAAAATAAATCACAGCTGTGAGAAAATATTTTTGATTTCTCTCAAATTAAACTAATAGTAACTGTTCATAATCATCATGAGACATTATTATATTAAACAAATCACACTTGTTTTGTCAGAAAATAAATCAAATGTTCACTGAACTACACTTCAGTCAGCTGCTATAATTAGATTTTCTGCTTTTATAATTACAGTAATTTGCGTAAGGTTTGATTTAGGATCCACTTTCATGTAAAAGACAACGTTTTTGTTTGTGGTTCAGAGTTATCAGCCTTCTGACTTCTCTTGGCAGAGAGGACTACATCTTTATCTCTTTACTATGTGGACTCCTGCTCAGCTGTTAATTTTAGTATTATTATGCTGTTTTTCTTGTTTATGCATTGAGTTATTGCTCTCATTATGGTGTTTTTTTTCTCCAACCTTTCTAGCACATTGTGCATGTGTACATGTGAACTGCATACAATTAGGGCTCATTATCTTCCTTTTTTGGGTGTTTTTTTAAACGCAGAACAAACAAAGAAAAGAACAAGAAACAAACCGCTTGTGCTACGTAACCTAACTGCTTCTTTTTCTCTTTCTCTCTCCACTTCTACAGACATTATCTCCCTGGGTTGGCTTGAGGAAGATCAACGTGTCCTACTGGGGCTGGGAGGACATATCACCCTTCACCAACACCAGCTTGCAATGGTTACCTGGAGAACCCAGCGACTCAGGCTTCTGTGCCTACCTGGAGCGGGCACAGGTGGCTGGTCTTAAAGCCAACCCCTGCACAGCCACCACTGACGGCCTCATCTGTGAAAAACCTGCCGGTGAGGAAGAATGAGTGCACTAAAAAAGGAGAGAGAGACAGGTGGATGTGGTTAATGAGAGAGACCAGAACACAGGATAAAACTCAGATTGGAGGCTACAGTTTATCAGTTCAGGCAAGCTAAAGAAACAAACTCTTGGTTGAAAGAACAAAGTATCAGTGCATGAGATACATTATATAATTACCAGAGCATTTCTTAAAGACACTGACATTTTTTGTTCTGTGAAAATGGATAAACTCAAAAGTGAGAAAGAGGAAACAAGTGGAAGCTGTATGAAATGTTCTGTATGATGCAGTGAAGGAAATAAAAATCATCAGGTGTATATCTAAGCTCTGAACCTTTATCTTATGTTGTAACTAGCTCCAAACTTCAGTAAATAACTATCAGTTCCTTTTCTCTAAACTTTTGTCTCTGGCATTTGTTTCATTGCTCAGGGAGTCCACAGAGTCAGAGTGCTCGTCCCTGTAAGACGCCCTGCTCTCTGCACACCAGTTGTGCCAACTGCACCAGCCAGGCCATGGAGTGCATGTGGTGCAGCAGTACACAGCGCTGTGTCGACTCCTCGGCGTATGTCATCTCCTTCCCCTATGGACAGTGTCTGGAGTGGCAGACCCAGGACTGTACTGGTGAGACGGGGAGAAATCAAAAGGGGGGATAGGGAAGGGTGGAGATGAACAGATATGTTAGACCAGGGTCAGGGGGGGCGGTTTAGGTCTGTTTGTTTATGTGCTTTTAAAAACAAGAACTCGGGTGGGAATATCTCAGACCCACTTTCTAGCTATATCCAAGGCTTTTAACCACATTTCACAGTCTTCATCAGGAATGGGAGTTTGATCATCTCTCAAACTCTGCAAGACCAAAAGATATGGCTCAAAGCCTCGGAAAAAGCACTTTTATTTAGTGTTATTTTAGGTAGTAATGCTTCCATTCTGGAAGACATGCTACTGTTCATCCATTACATTTTAGTGAAAATAATAAAAAAATATTTTTTACTCCACTACATTTTTCTAATGGCTTGAGTTACCAGTCAGTTTCTGGATTAACACTGTAGTACCAGCTACAAGGTGCAAATGCACACTAACCCGACACCAGAAAAGCAAGATGTACAGTCATAGATTTAGGAGGTGAGATGTAAGATTTGCACGTTATCTTTGTCATTTTAATAAGATGTAATGACAAGGCAGTATATGGTTGGAAAAAGCCTAGAGGTTATAGCTTAGTCAAAATATGTGGCTAAGAAGAATGAATGAGGTGGTGTAGTACTCTACTCACACCTTTTGATGATGCAACTAGAGTACATTGTGTGAACATGGAGTCATTATAGACTCCTATCGATCTTTTTCTTATCAGCATTCAGGTCTCTACCTCTCACACACACACTGACACAAACACACACTCCAAAACCGAGGCAGTGCCACCTCTCCTGTAGCTACAGGGCAGAAAATCGATCATCTACAGTGACACACAGCAGACTCGATATGAAGTCCTCGCTGCTGTCTGTTAACATTCCTCTCATATTAACACCTCCCTGGGGGTGTTGGAAGTGGTTCTAAGTGCACAGGAATGTTTGTGTATGTGACAAAGACGAGGGATCATGAACCATGAAACCAGACAAAGGGGAAAAGCTGCCAGGCCCTGCTGCAGCCTCTCTGAATTTGCATCTTTATGATGATTTCCATTGTTTCATAAGTCGTCATGACATGAAGACACTAAGGGTTTTACTGCCTAACTGCTGATAGTTTCCTCTCTAAAGAACATTCCTGTAGTGGCTGCAGCCATTTATCCTATAGGTTGCTTCTACGTTTACCTGCTTTGGTTTACAAATTGTCCAGCAGGAAAGGAATGGGAACTATTGCTTGAAAAGAAACATGCTTGACATGTTTATTTTTGTAATCAAATGTGTTTCATGAATTAAAGCTACATCAATTCATTTTTTAACTAAAACAGCCTTCAGTTAATGGGGACAGCACAGGCATCCTGTTGGATTCTTGTCTTTATTTTCAAATGTTGAATGTCCAGTCTAGTGTTTTTTTTGTCTTTTTTTGGCCTTTATGATCCACAAAATCCACTTCTTCAGTTTGTTTTATAGACATTTTACTTTGTTCAGCCACTTGTTTACTTGAGACTGCAAGCTGTTTACAATCATCCTGTATAAATGACCACAGCTTTATATGTGGAAGTTAGTAAGCGCCCCTGATAATCAACCACATGGACCAGTGAACAAGAAGCTCTGGCACATTACAACCAGGAGTCATTTGATTCAGAAAATCCTCTATTGAAAAAGAAATAACAAGCTTTGGATATTTTATTTTGGTGCTACACATTTAAATTTGTTCAAATGTATTTTAAACAAAAGAAGTAATTGTTTTGACTACATGAAAATGTCTACATACATATATCTAAAAAAGGGACACTATAATTAAATGGTCTATTAGAACAATGAGAAATAAATGTGTCCATCTACTGTATACTATACTGTAACTATAGAATAACTGGAATCTACAAGACAAAATACGTTTTTTTGTATTTTAAAACTACTGATTATCCTAGCCAAGGGTAGATATCCAACCTAGACAGAAGGCGGCTACACGTTATAGCAGCATGACTAACAGACCTGAGTAAGTGATGCTTGTTTCTGATAATGTTCACTGATGTTTTATTTGGAAAAGTGAAGGCCATGTTTTATTCTAAAGTTCAACCAGTTTAGAAATCTGTTAGAAAAACAGAAAAAACGGTCAAAGATATTCCTTCAGGCAAAACTTTTTATTGGTGTTTTCTGTCTTTTGTTAGACAAATAGTCCATTTGTAGCCAAGTGTTCTTGTTTCTGGGGAGTTAAAAAACAGCTTCAGAAACTTTTTTTGTCTTTTGACTGGTGATTATTATTCCTTGCTGGTGCCAGTAGTCTGAATGCAGACAGCTCTCTAGCCTACTGTTAGCAAGCTATGATTGTTTTTCCTTCTTTCTTTTTACCTTCATTGCTTACATAATGGCACCTTTTCCCCATCTCCTTTGCTCTTTTATTATTTATATCGCAGTTTGGTGGCAGAAGATGTGTAGGATGCTTTTGTTCTGCTGCTTTTTGCCTTTGTTGCTCAAAGTGTGCCATATAAAATATGACATATTTCACTTTTCAAATTCTCAGATATAGCATTGTTGCTCTTTTGAGGTCCACCCCTCTTTGTAGAGCATACTTAACTTTCTGCTTCACTTCTCTTGTTTATGGATTAATCATGTCTTGTTTTGGAAACCAGCCCTGCAGGCGGCAGCTGAAGGATTCATGACCTCGGCTTTAGTAGCTGCTTTCACAAAAAACAATTGCTTGTCTGAGGATCCAATTTGAACTGGGTCATTTCTTTATCAGATAAATTTGGCCCAAGGCTTAGTGTATCATTCCCATTTTTCATGTCGGCTGAAGGCCAACTACACATTCCTCAACACAACCTCTTGAAATAATTAGCTCCAGTGTTGCACCAGCAGTCAGATTTGGAAGTTGTGGGTACTCCTTTAAAAGCGAGCAGATATTTCAATCCCAGACTAATTGCGCAGTACTATGTTTCCTGTCATAAAATAGACAGGAATTTTTTGAGCTTCCCTCTGCTTTTTTTCACCTCTTTTTACCTCTCTGCCTCCAGGGTCTTGTCCCTGAAGGTCTTACACCTGCAGCTATATGGCAGTCAAAATGGCAACTGTAAATTAGTCTGTAAATTAAACTTTTCATTCTATATGTGCTCAATAACACTCCTCTCATGCATAGGGTTAGGGTTAGCATGCATAGCTTGTGAGGTCAGTGTTTGCCACTGTAGACACCCACATCTATTCTGCATCTACCCTCTCGGTAGTGCTGCCAGTTGTTTTTTCATTGTTGTTCAGTAGATAGGAAGATACAGAAAGACCAGACTTTCACAAACAACTGCTTTTAGGGATGGAGAACCACTGCAGTGATAACTCTACAAACTGTCAGCCTAAAGTTTTACCACATAACATGCATGTTAGTGCAACAGAAGTAGCTGATGAAGTGAAGCAGTGAGGTTGAAACTCCAGCTCCGGTTTTCACCACAGCGCAAGCACAAATGTAGTGACGCTGCATTGTCTGTATTGCACATAAATGTCAGTGTACTCCTAGAGTATTTGAACAGTGACCCGTTTTTGTTTTTGTTGGCTCTATACTGCAGATTTTGTAATTAAATTGTGACTATGGTTGAAATACTGCATCAGACACTTGGTGTTTTACAGTACCTGGCAATTTTTTAAGTGTGCTGTGTCCAACTACTGTTCACAATGCACAAAGGAAATGGATGATCTGCGCACTGCTGTAAAAAAGTAACTGTGGGTGTTGGGGAAAACAATTCCAGAAACACATCAGAAAACAAAAACAGCATTGTATTCGTATATAAAATTTTCTGTCTTTTTATAGAGACTTTTTAAAGTTGTAGTTTGATTGGCAAACATTTCCTGTTAATACAAAATGCTAAAGTATGGTGATTTTAGTGCACACTAGTTGTAAAAACAATATACTATGACAATCAGTATCTAGTTCATACTGTATGCAGTTAATAAGCGGTACGACATTGGAATACCATTTTAGTCTTTAGGCAAATTGTTTTCAAACAGTTTGTATTTCAAAAGGACTACTACTCATCCACTGTTCAACCAAGAAACAACCCCCAAACCTCCTCAGAGCTAAAAGTGCTTACCCTTTTTGTGCCATTTCAAATCAGATGTGCTGTATTACACAGACAAAACAATGGAAACATTTCACTTTGCTACGGTATATGGAGGGACAAGAATATTAGGAACCACTTGACTGACTCAGTCCAGTACAGCAGATCCACCACAAACCATAACCACAAAGATAACCACAGAGATGGATCCACACATTTCTGCCCTGCCACAACCATTTAAACACAAACATGGGATTAGGTACAGGTGTGTTGGATTTCAGTACACAGCAGTTGTTCTTTTATTTGTCACTCACTGCGTGTATTTTGTTGTCTAGACAGGCGACTACAACAGGTCAGTGACTATGATTTCATTATAGTTGAACATAGGTTTCAAATGAATCTCTGTCTTACACACACTCACACTCACATTTACAGACAGGCTGGATGATGGTTGTGTTGTTGTAGCTGATATTGGTTTTGCTGCACAGAGATATGGGCTTATTTTCTCTGAGGCAATCTTCATAACACGTGTGTGGGTTTTTTTGTCTGCTGTCTTGCAGCTCTACATGCAACGAGAAAAGCGAAGGAGAAGGCAGCTTATGGGTCCTACACTTGATGTATTATGTATAGGGGCTCACAGATCTGTATGCTACTGGCTACAGCGATGCTAACTGTCAAGTACTGTAGGAGCAAATGGATTGCACAAGATGAAACCAGACGATACGTGCTATCCAGGGACACCCAATGTCAAACCCTGTTGTGATGAACAGAATGTGGCACGGAGACGATTGTGCTGCGAGAATTTTTGATAAGATGAAAATTCCCCCAGCAGGAACAAGCAATCCCTTTCTTTGCTGCACAAAGATAGACTAAGTTACTCAGAACATTTGTCATCTGTTGTGTTTAGGTATCCTCTAGGTTATTTCTGTCAATGAAGACGACTAATATCCTGATTTCAATAGAA